CTAAAAGGTATGATTTGACTCGACTGGATGTGCATTGTATGTAATCAGCATGGAGTCAAAATGTAAGGATGAAAGGGAATGTGTAGAAGTTGCCATGCCTCTCAGACACAGCGGGGGCGGCAGGATTTTCAGTGCTCATGCCTTCACAGGGCACAATTTATGGCCATTATGGAGGTCTATTTCCAGCTATAGTGATGGATTCTGCTCAATTATTGTCCATTACGGAGAAAGATGGCCGCACAACCATGCCAGAAATTATTGGTTCCCACTGCAGTGACATTACATTGAGCTCATCACTGCATGTTCAGCTAAGCCAAAAGTAGCCTAAACTGAAATTCTCTTGTTTTGTGATGGATCATTGTAGTCATTCCTATCCTTTTTTTTCCTGTGATCCCTTATTATATACCCATGTCTACTTGTGGACCCTTATAACAGGTTGTATATCTACTAGTTGTGAACATGTGAGCAGTTCACTCAAAGAATGATTGTTTCCTTTTTCGATTCTTACATTTGAATAATTTCTAGAGACCTGAGGGACTTGATATTTCACAAGAAAAATCCAAAATAAAGCCTTAAAGATGATTTTTGGGTAGTTTGTATTAATTACTTCCCGTGGCTAACTATCTTACTGTAACCTAACTCAGCAGATCATTTGCTATCTACATTTTAATGGGGTTTCAGGTTACATAGAAAAAGCCTTTTTCCTAATAGCAGGTATCCACTCTGTAGTACAGTACTTACCCACTGTGTGAAAGCTGGTCCTGGATGCTACTATATCAGAGTCTATGAATAGGCCTAACACTAGTTTCTCTGTCATGCTCCTTTGGATTTAGGGAAGTTTACGTTCCAGAAACCGCAGCCAAACTCATTCTCCCAGATAGCTTTGCCACATTATGAACAATAAAGGATTAATTTCTTGCTTGTCAAAGTATTTAAGCTAAGAGCCAAACAGGTTTATGTTAGAATGAAACACGAGTTTGAAATCACATTTTTCCTCATACTAAGATTAACTAGCACTACACTGTAATACAAGACCAAAGCTGTTTCTTACTTACAATGGCTTTTTTCCTTGGACATTAGCAGTATTTTAGCATGATATCAGGTATATAGCAAGTGTGTGTAAGAGACATATTTTACAGGGCCCCCATTTTAAAATGAGCCAGCTGGAAGTAATGTAGTAACACGTCAATGAAGACATGTTTTCAACCAAGTCATGGAGCTAACTTTAGCATTATTAGCTAGCTAGGTACAGGTGATAAAATTTGTCAGTGATGGTCTGGCTTTCCAGACATTAAAATGGAGGGTTGCTGGCAGGAAATGGGAAGCTTGCTTTTGTCATTGTTTAAAAAATTATTATGATTTTTATTTTTATGGTAAAACTGCCGACATTATTGTTGTAAACTGCTAATTGCAAAACAGTTTTCCTTCATGTGGGTGCTGACCCATGCACCACAGTAAACCCTTCATAGCCATCCACTTGTTTTCAATATGTCTGACATATGGAGAGGAATTGGGAAATAGACGGTGAGTTTGTTTTATTCCTGGCATCGGGACACTGCAGTGGCTGTCGTCTCGCCAGAGCTCAGGCTGGCAGTCAGCACAAACTGGAGGTAATTGAGAGGGAGAAGTCCCAGCCAGTTGCACAGTAGGGCCACCACGGGCCTCTGAATGCCACCGTAGCCCCCAGTGGACATTAATCAAAATGCCCGATCAATAACTTCTCAAGTGCTAATAAGCACTGGCACATTTCGTGATATGTGAGCCCCTTCATCATTTCAAATACCCGGAGATTTATAGGAAATCCATTGTTAGGTCCAAAGTATGAGGTAATGTAGCACTTAGTAAATGAAGTAAAACCAAAAGCCTGGGGTGATCTGTATTTCATTTACAAAGGACATGTCTAATCATTAGGATCTCCATCTCTCTGAAAAGCAACCAAACGGCTGTAATGATGGCTGTGTTCTTTTATAGCTTACTTACTCAGCAATGACGCAGGAGATAACAGCAAATAGTAAAGACTTGCTGTCCTCCACTCCTGAATGTTTCACTCCCAGATAGCCATGGGGGACTCCTATCCACCATGGAGTGATTAAAGTCATGTTAGGGAAGCATTATGGGTCAGGTCATAAAATAATTTGATTTCTGTCCCCCTCCACTGTCTCCTATCAAAGTGATTGGTCTCCTGGTCATCTCACTGGCTGACATAATTGTTAATTAACCATTATGGGCTGCCCTCTCTCATCTATATCACACGGCAATTACTCATTTGACAACAAAGCAATATATCACTGTGTATGATGTATGGACACAGACCTGTTTTATGAGTATGAACTGACTCAGTATCATGAAAGTGTTGCACATTTACTTACATCTAGATGCTTTATTTACACAAGTATTGATTAGTGTCATGTTTGTTTCACATGATACTTTCCACAAGTAAAGTCCTGGTAGCTCTGTCTCAGTATTACTACAGCATGTGCATGAGTACTGAAGAATTTTCCTTTTCAACCTATTGTTGGTGCAAATTTGCAATGCAGTTCCTCAGCAAAGTTTTTTTTTTTTCTTTTTTCTTACCTGTTGCTTAAGTCATCAGCTCTTTGCATGTCAAGGTGAGTTGTCTTTTCAAAAATACCACAGATCAGGTAAAGAGGTCCAGGGGGAAGAAAGTTAAATAAAAAGCTCTTTAAAATGGTATTCATAAAGAAAAAGACAAACAGTGTCCCTGTTGAAAATAAAAGCGCACACTGAAATCCATTCTGATGACAGTTGGAAGAATGCAGGCTTTATGGGGGACTTGAGCCCCATCTTTGCCATATCTTTTAAGCATGATTATTTACTTAAAACAACAAACCAAAGCCCCAAGTCTGGCATTGTGGACGACAGGCCTTTGATTGAGCTCTGAGCTTGAATTCTTAACTAATAAATTGTTCCACGCCTTTGTCTGGGGCATTAACAGCAGTGGTCTGCGTTTTTCTTGCCCTAATCTCAAGAATGCAGCAGCCTCTTGAGAAGCTCAGGGGTTTCCTCCTCTCCCAGAGCCAGGTCTTCACTTTGTTTTCTTAGAGGACTCCCTGGATTGACAGGCCTCACCGTTAGCCCTCTCCTCGGCCATCTGTTTTCACTGATTCTGACTGAACACATCAAAGTCAATCAAGACTGCAAAGCATTTTAAAAGTCACACACCCCTGCACTGTGTGTGAGAAATAAAGCAAAGTTTTCATCAGGCTCACAAAAAGAGACGGTTTGGACTGTGTGTTTGTGTGTATGGTTTTCCATGTAAAGGTGACCTGTGAGGGATCCCTTAGCTCACAGCACAGGTATGAGCAGCTTAGCTTTGTTCAATGCCTACTGTGACGACAGCTCGGTGAGTCACCTAGACACATAGACTAACCTCCTTTGGTCAGGTTCCAACTGTTCACTGACACCTTCCTGACAATAAAATAATCATTAGTGAGACTGAGACACTGTACGTAGTATCTTTATATCTCTATTATCTCTATCATCTTTGCATGGTGATAGAAGGATAAAGAAAACTTTGTAAATGTAAAGCCATAAGGAAAATGTACTTAAAAATCACAATTAAAAGTACTCATTATGCAGCAGAATGGACATATCATTTTTATATTATTATATGTAACATTTTTTTTTATTATCATTACTAATGAATGACCCCAGTCACTGTCAGGTAAATGAAATAGTGTAAAAACTAGAATAGATATTTAAATCTGAACTGAAATCTAGTGATGTAACATTGTAAAATAACATAATATGGAAGTACCCAAGTAAATATTCAAAATTGCACCTAAGTATCTTATGTTCATGAATTTCCTCTAGGGGATAAATAAAGTATCTATCTATCTATCTATCTATCTATCTATCTATCTATCTATCTATCTATCTATCTATCTATCTATCTATCTATCTATCTATCTAACTATAGAAAAGATGGAGGGTGGGTTAAGAGAGGGAGTGTAGTGTTGATGCTCTTATTTCTTGCTTACTTGTGGATATATACTTCATGAGATATCATTCATTTGTACGTATTTATTTCCACCACCATTAAAAAAATACCAAATAAAAATGTATAATATTGTATAATTTTCAATAATATGATAAATGCCAAATTTAAAACAGAGAGGCTTTAATAGGCATTTGAGAGATCCACCATGCAGCATTGTGAGAAATCAAACGCATCACAAAGTTAATCAACAATTCATGGTGATTTTAGTTTGGAAACAATAACCAATCAGCTAAACCCGAGGTCTAAGCTCAGCCAATCAGAGGCAGCGTGGAGGCTCCGCGGTGATGACACAGCGGGCGGAGGGGGGGGGGGGGGTTACCTGGTAACCACTCAAACACTCTCGATAGGATGGCAATGCGGAAGGTTTGGATTTTAGCTCCTCTACACTCCACTTTATCTTGTTCATTGATGAAAATGTGCTAATATAAAAAAAACTGTGGCAGATATATCACAAGGGTTTCTTCTTATCTCTATCTTCTTTTAGTCTTTAAGCTCTGCCCGGCTTGTGTCGTAAAATGAAGTTGAATTTCCCCGTTGTCTGTTCTTCACCTGCTAGCTTAATGAGATAGCGAACACCTGCGTGAACTCAGCTCCACGCGCTTCCGTTTACAGAAAAACCAGTAACCAAAAATATTGTTTTATCTATCTGTAAAATTAAGGTAGCCTTCCCTTTTTGTAGGGAAACTAAAGGAAGATTATGGCCGAGTTCTGTCGGATTTAAAAAGTAATTTCTGTGAAACACTTACGCCTGCATTAGTGAATTATCTAAACCAATATTAGCATTTCCATTCGGCCATGCAGTAATTTATTCCTGCATTTTGAAATTATTTGGTCTAGACAGTATGTTTCAGAATATATGAGGTTGTATTTCTTGCTTTTTACCCACCTTGGTCTGAGAAAAATACGATTTCTACATTTTGGTACTTTGCCCAAGTTATTAATTGAGCAAAGCCTCATGCATCATTTTATATAACTGCAGTGATGCACATCTTTTACAGAGCTTGAAGTCTAAAGCAAACAACAAGTTGGTGATTACATCCGTTGCCTTTCAAGACCACATCACACGGAGCCTGTTGCATCCAAATTTCTCATTCTCTGACCCTTTGCTGAGCTGCAAAAGAAAAGCACCCAAAAATCTTCAAGCAAGAGGAGGAGTGGAGGAGAAGGGTTTGCAAAGACATGATGGGCAAGACAAGACAGAATATGTACTTGATCCTGCTCCACCACCATTAACATTAGGTAGAACCTTTGGAAATGTCTTGCAGTTAAAATCTTTCAGTCATGAAAGTCTTGCCACCATATTTATTCTATGTTTTAGCTCAAAAGATGGGTTTGGTGGCTTCGCCAGCAGAGAGACTGACAGAGGCTGAATGGACGCAGGTCAAAGCGAGGTCTATTCAACAGGGGGATTCAGCTCAGCCCTGTGCAATATGCAGGGAGGAGTTTCGCCTTCAACCTCAGGTATTCCCCCAACACAGTAGCTACTGTTAATTCTCTGTGAGATCTCTTTCTTTCTTCTTTTTTTTTTTTTTTTACTTGTTTTCAATGTTCTGTGTCTGTCCTCAGGGAAACCTGTGTTTCCGCATACACACATGAGCACACAAACATACACACAAAGCCCCCCGCCTGCAGTTCCTGTATGTTCTAATCTGTGTAGACAACTGTACAAATTTACCCATACTGCCTTGGAACTCAAGTGTGACGTGATGATGTAGCAATCAGTGTGTAACTGTGAGGGTCATTCAGTCTTTTACACCTTTCCGATCCCCTTTTAAGATGCCAATCTCCTCAAGAATGTGGGACTAGAATAGGCGGCCTCACAAAGCACAGTTGCCATAGATGCACGTGTAAATATTAGTTTGACTCAGGGAAAAAAAAAGTTAATTAGAGCCTGCTAACAAGGGAAAGTGACAAGAGGGAATCTTTGTTGATTTGGCATTTTCCTGGAAGACTTGATATTGTAACAATGCCACTGTGCTACAGACTTGTGTTGCATTCAAGCATTAATATGACAATGAAAAATGCTTACAACAGCAGTTGCTCTGAACCAGTTGTGTTAACTGGAATCTTTGTTACTCTATCCAGCTTATTTAATACTAACAGCAAATTGTCTGTAGTAGGATTTAAATATAAAGTTTCTCTGCTTTCTATTAAATTTTTTATCGCATTTCTTTATTGTATGTCTGACCTTAAACTGCACCTTGTACCCTTAAAATGTTGTGAGAAATGAAATTTCTCTCTGGTCTAATGGCTTGTGGAGCTCTTGGAAATAGTACACTGCAGGGGGCCCTTTCACTGGTGATGGAGTGTGTTGGTCAGGCCAAAAACAATAGGAAATCAATATGCCTCCCCTCTGCCCTCTAGAGATCTGAGTAAACTGGTTTGTGTGCAAAGCCCTATAGCTGTGGCTGTCTCCTTTCAGACGATAAAAGAGCCCCTCTCACAGGTAGAAGGAGACTATAGTCCAGGTCCCAGTCGGCCCACTGGGGGTCATGCTGACTCCCTCTATCCTCTTGGCAAATAACACTTAAAGGCAGATACACACATTCACATATGTGCTTGAATACACACAGATTTAGCATGGCTTAAAGCTCACATACACACACCGCATGAGCACAGACCATATATAGTATACTGTATGGGACCGTCTCTCAAGTGCTTAAAGAAAACCTGAAAACCAATACACATCCTCAACCTATGAAATTTAAACTCTCATGAGTATTTAGATGGTGCTTCTTGATTTACAGCAGAAGTGATTCTATTTAGCATATTCATATAAAATTATTAACTTATATCCATGTCCCTTTTCAGGTGTTGCTGTCTTGCTCGCACGTTTTCCACAGAGCATGTCTGCGGGCCTTTGAGAGGTTTTCTGGGAGAAAATGCTGCCCTATGTGCAGGAGGGAGCAGTATGAAACACGGGTGATACACGATGCAGCTTGCCTCTTCAGACACCAGTGTGCTACCAAGTAAATGCACTAAACCAGAGATACAAAATATAACATTAAAAATGAGTTTTAGTATGTTTGAATAAAAGTACCATTCACAGTAACTCAAACTACGAATTGTACATCAAACTATCTCATCAAGTAATTACCATAAAACTGCAGTATCTTCAACAAGTGCTGAAGGAAAATCATTCTCAATTACAATGTCTTTTTTTGAGGTTGGTTGCAAGATTATCTAATTGTTGGTTCTTTGTTTGTTGTGACTGTATTTTGTGCATATAGAATTCAAGCATACTGGCGAGGCTATGTTGCTCGAAAGTGGTACAGACATATGAGGAAAACAATCTGCCCAAAAGACAAACGGCTGAAACGCAAATTCTTCGAAGCCAAGGTTAGTTTGTACTTCAGCTCTGAAGTGGTCGCATCAGGATCTTATAGATTATTCAAGCTTCTTTTGCCACACTGAACACACATTGCCTTGTGTCTGTCTCCTCACGTCTCATTTTCTTCGTACTTTTCATCCTGACATTCTTTGACCATTTAGTTGGTTGAGTAAAGGCTGTGATGAACATCACATCTTGAAGGTTGAGACATGGGTCTCAGGGACTCACTGACCCCACTTCTAACCTCCACACACACACAAACACACACCTTCACCTGCTCTCACCCTCTCGAGCTCCTTTGATGCTTTGTGAATCATACACTGTTTGTTCACTAATGTGGAGAGAGTTTTGTGTTTTGGTCAAACAGTCTGGGAATTCGAGGGTCAACACAAAAGCACGATGTCTCCTGTGCATGTTTGGGTCTGGTATTCCTTCATCGATCAGTGTGTGTGTAGCGCTGTTACTGGGTTAGATGGGAAAGGGTGAAGGGGTGAAGTTGGCCAGGGTGTTTGGATACCTGATGCAGGTTGTCATTTCAGGCTTTGTTCTCTTGTCCCATTTCAAAGCTATAAATCATGCAACCACTGGACTCAATAGAGGGAATATTTAAAAGTGGCTGACCGATGGTCTCAAGAACAGCCAGTGGATGGGGTCGTTTGACTCTGAGGCTTGTGTTGCCTTCATGGTGGCTCTCAGGAAAAGGGAACATTGCCACCTAGTGAACCTCCCCCAGCTGAGGTCTTGGATGACCAAAGATGACACTGATCATTTCTCTTAATCAGATATCAGTTTTTCAAGGATGCTTTTTACAAATTCATCCAATGATCCTACTTTGAAATAATCATAGCTCCAACACATGTATGTCCAGTGTCCTCAAGAGCAGGCGTATTTATTTGTGTGTGGAGTGTTGTAATCATGCAGAGTGCTCCTGTGCTTCAAAGAGGCTGATTAAGCAAAAGTGACAAATGCATGAGGGCCACACATATAATGTGTTGCAAGGGTCGGAGTGTCCTACCCATCCCCCTGTCAGTCTCCATCATCTTGCCTATAAACCATGCCTTAACATGTCACATAAACAAAGACATAGCATTTACTGAGCCAATTAAGTCTGTTCTAACACATTAGGCCATGTCCAGGTCCACATGCTCAGGATGGAGTCACAGATGCTGTCAGCCACTTTACATTCAAGTTGTGTGATTCAGTGGTCGTGGGTGGTCATGAGATTGTCTCATATCTTTTGTCACACTGAGGATGATCTTCAAGAGCTGCGAGCTGAGCAACACAGCGCTGAAAGGTCTGATTGACTTGATTTTCTAGGGAAAGACTTATTTGCTTAGCTGACTGTAATGCAAACAGGCGTGTTAGTGCTGGGCTGGAACCTGTGTGAGACGGAGAAACCTATTCTCTCAGCTTTCCTTGTGATAGCAAGAGGCAATAAAGCATCTTTGTACCATGTAGCCCCAGGTGTTCCCTGTGGAAAAAAAAAACTTCTATGTATCAGGCCAGTTTCAGAACTCTTATCAGCTGATACCGAATCCCAGCTTTCAATTTTTACTTGCTTCGGAGGTCCGACCCTGAGTCAACACATTAAGGGGGACACTACCGACATCTAGATGGATTGCTGTGAGATAACGCCTCTGCACTCCTCCTCCTCTTCCCCTTCTGTGTCCTCTCCTGTCCCCATCTACTGTGGAGCAAGGCAAAGTTCACCAGAGGCTGTACTGTTTGCCTTGACTGTCGAAAAGTCAGCCAGGCTCATAAAAGCCTCCATCCGAATGGTTAACAGTTGTTTAATTAGTGATAAAAGCCTAGCTGTAAAGCAATTCTCATGTCACCGTGGCAGGCTAAGGGATGGTGTGTGTGTGTGTGTGTGTGTGTGTGTGTGTGTGTGTGTGTGTGTGTGTGTGTGTGTGTGTGTGTGTGTGTGTGTGTGTGTGTGTGTGTGTGTGTGTGCGTGTGTGTGGGGGTTGCATGTGTGCGCGCGTATGTGTGTGTTAGTGTGTCACAAACAGAAAACAAGTACATTTGTGCGGTGCAGAGGAACCTTTAAGTAATTTGTTACATTACCTTTCTCAGATGTAGTTTATCACATTAATGAAGAGTTGCAATTATAATAATCAATAATCATTTAAACTGTTTTGTCATTTTTCAAGCAAAAATGACAGTTTTTCACTGATTTGACATTTTATAGACAAAATTATTAATTCAGAAAATAATCAGTGGTTTAATCAATCCGTTGCAGCCCTACATTAATGTACAGTTTTCTGTAACATTCACTTATTGAACTAATGAAAATGCTTAACAAAAACATTTTTATCACAAAGCCCGCTTACTTGGTTTGTTTTTGTGGAACTTTCAGCTGCATCTAATGGCCTTCATCAGTGGCTAGAGTTTACTCATTTGTCATGGAGATGGTTTTGTTGTTATAATTTGATTGTTGTTGTTGTTGCTTACTTTACATGTAGAAATTTATGTTGATTGGTCAATTGCATAGTGCCTTTGAAACTTACAGTATATAAATAGCCCCTTCATTGACTATTGAATATGTTTTTGATATAAACAGTAATATGCATATGCAGACATTAATTGTTGCTTAGCAACAGCTGTTATAAATGGGAGAAGACAGATGAATTATGAGATGACAGACACTCAAAGGAGTCTTTAAAAAATGGTCAATGTGAGAATGGAACAGTGGACTGGGTATGTTGGAGGACGGAGATAAAAAATGTAAATTAAAATAATAAAATTTTACCATACACCAGAAATAAAGTCCTTAAAATGTTTATAGCATTTGGATTTCTCAAATTTTATTTATTTTGTTAACTGTTTAATTATCTAAGTGCTTTTTCACACCGACAATTATTGCTTTAAAAGTAGTAAATTTTGAATATCCCTGTAATGTAAATACCCAAGAGGTGGCTAGAATGCTAATGTGTAGGAGCCTGGCTGCTGGCTACATTGGTCCAGAGAAATGGCAGTAAAATTATATAGACTCTAATTAGAAGTTATTTCATAGGAGAGAAATTGGTAACTCCATAACACTTTATTTGGAGTGATTAGTAGCTAATTCATTAGTTTCCAACTCAAACACTGTGTACAAGACAGAAGAGAGGACATGTTTATGTGAGTGTGTATGAAACAGAAAAAGTGTCAGAGATATGTGTGCTTCCATGTTTCCCAGCACTGTCTTCCTTTTTTTTACTGGTTTCCATTAATTCTCTATGTTAGTGGGAGACGTGACTGTATTGATCTGGCTGTTTAACAACTGCACCCTGTCAGCGTGCCTCAGCCATTACAATACACACACAATTAGCCTTCGCCGAAAACACAACTCTATTGTGTATCTGAATGAAACATGCCTCCTTTGTGCCAATAAAATGGTTTTTCTAATTAGTTGCAGGAGTTGAATGACAGCTTTGTCCGATACTGTCACACTGACACGGAGGCTTTTCTGAGTGATATCGACCGCTCCCTGTCATCAAGCAGACGAGTGTTCCAGCAGCTGGAGAGAAAGAGCGTCTCTGAACCACAGGAGAACGACTGGGACCGAATACATAGCCAGGTCAGGAACAAGACACTCTGCTGAATCAGAAGCCATTTGTATCATTGAACATGGCCCTGTGAAAATATCTAATCCTAGTCTGATTCTTCTTCACCCAGCCTTGCCTTTCCTTGACATGTTAACGCCTGCATCACAGCTGCTATATAGAAAGTACACATCTCTCCTGAGGTGATCATTCACTTTACCAAATGAATGGCAGTGGGAAGGCGAATAATCCTCTGTGTTTACAAAAAACACGAGCCAGTCTGATAATGCACGGCAGGCTTTTCATCGCCTGGACTGCTGTGGAGGAACTGAAAAGACATTAAGATTTGCTGTTCCATAAGGCTCCATTGTTGGCTTTCATAGCAGCCAGTACCATTTTCCATTGAGGGGGTGGGGTGTGTGCAAAGAAGATGTCTTTTTTTTTTTTTTTTTTTTTTTTTCTTTATCTGGTGTGAAAAGGTTGAGCACAAGGCAGGAGTGGCTCAGCCTTGACATGGAGTATCAAACAGTGAATGTGCTTTCAACACATACCTTGCACCTTTTTCACGGGTGCAAACTCTATAAAGCAGAGTGCAGCTCGATATGAAACATTTAACAACAGGGCATGTTGGCCCCTAAATACAGGAAGATGTCTTTGGTTAATCACTGGTGAAGCTGTGCATGTGTTGCTTTGTTTTTGTAAGGATCACTGGTAAACATGTTATCACTTCGTGTTGGATCAAACTTGTCAGGTAGTTGCCAACAGATTTGCTTCAGAGTCCTTTCAAATTTGAAGGCCTTTACTAGAACAGTGGGAGGAAAAACGTCACTGTTGTTACCTGCTAGTTATATTTATGCAAGAAATTCCTTATTATTCCTTATTATGATACCTGTGCATCTTCCTATATAGAACTCTGTCACGGGAGTTGTAAATATCCATGAGCAGTTATTAGCACTTACTATTCCTTATTATGATACCTACACATCCTCCTATATAGACTTCTGTAATGGGAGTTGTTAATATCCTTAAGGTAGTTGAAGAACTTTAATTGTTTGTTTCAAACTCTGACAGGTTATCCAGAGAGGTGTCTGGGACTGCCCCATCTGCCTGACTGCACTGTGCAGCCTGAACCTTCCAACAGAATCCAATGCATCCAACCATCAACAACGCAGACGAACTGTGCTCCTGTCGTGTTCTCACCTCTTCCACCAGCTCTGTTTAGAGGCCTTCGAGGCCTTTACTGCAGACAGCCGACCTTCCTGTCCCCTGTGCAGATCTGTCTACCACAAAAAACTTATCTAAAACAGGTACAAAAAGACGACATCTTGGGTGATTTCATCTTGTAAGATTTGTAGGTCCAAGTACCCTGTATTCGGAGTAAGCCAAATTATCACATTTTGATCAAAGGAAGTTTGGTATTTGGGGGAAAATACTTACTTACTTTCTTGCAGAGAGTAAGATGTCTCCTGACTACATGTTAAATGAAGCTGGAGCTGGGAGGCAATTAGCTTATCTTAGCAGAAAGATGGGAGGCAGGGGAAAAGGACTAACCTGGCTCTCTCCAAGTAAAAAGAAAAAAATCAGACTACAAGCAACTTTGTTTGAGCTATACAAAAAAAGAAATGTAAAAGTTTTTATGGCTCACTATACTTTGACTTTTTTATGCCTTACTATAGTATGACGTTTTTGTGCCTTACTATACTATGACGTTTTTGGCATGTTGGCCCCTAAATACAGGAAGATGTCTTTGGTTAATCACTGGTGAAGCTGTGCATGTGTTGCTTTGTTTATGTAAGGATCACTGGTAAACATGTTATCACCTCCTGTTGGATGAAACTTGTCAGGTAGTTGCCAACATATTTGCTTGAGTCCTTTCAAATTAAATGGCCTTTACTTGAGCAGTTATTAGCACTTATTATTCCTTATTATGATACCTATGCATCCTCCTATATAGACTTCTGTAATGGGAGTTGTTAATATCCTTAAGGTAGTTGAAGAACTTATATTGTTTGTTTCAAACTCTGACAGGTTATCCAGAGGTGTCTGGGACTGCCCCATCTGCCTGACTGCACTGTGCAGCCTGAACCTTCCAACAGAAGCCAGATCCAGTAGATCCAACCATCAACAACGCAGACGAACCTGGCTCCTGTCGTGTTCTCACCTATTCCACCAGCTCTGTTTGCAGACAGCAGACCTTCATGTCCCCCTGTGCAGGTCTGTTTACCACAAAAAAACTTATCTAAACAGGTACAAAAAGATGACATTTTGGATGATTTCATTTTGTAAGATTTGTAAGCCCAAGTATCCTGTACTTGGACTAAGCAAAATGATTACATCTTGATCACAGGAAGTTTGGTATTTGGGGGGGAAATAATAATTCACTTTCTTGCAGTCAGATGGGAAGGTATTTACCACTCTCCTGACTATATGTTAAACGAAGCTGGAGCTGGGAGGCAATTAGCTTATATTAGCATAAAGATGGGAAGCAGGGGAAGACACCTAGCCTAGCTCTTTGCAAGTAAAAACAAAAAGCAACTCTTTATTTAAGCTGTACATAAAAAGAAATCTAAAAGCGAAAAATGTGTGGCTTTACTGGTAGTTGTGTAACTATTATCTGTAACTCAGCAACTGGGTGCAGTGACTTTCTATAGTCCTCTTGCCACCATGAGAGAAAGAGGCAACCAGTATAGACTCAGGAGAGTTACTTGTCAAAGTCATTTGCTAAATAATAGTTACAGCATTTTACATTTTTTGTTAGCTTTAGGGCTGCTGATAGGTTTGTTTATTCGTTTATTTTACATTTGACAGTGCCAGGCTAGTTGTTCCCTCTGCTCCCAGTCATAATGCTAAGCTAATCAGGTCCTGGCATTTTAGCTCCATAGCTAGTGCAAAAACAAGGGAATGGTATTGTTTTTTTGATCTAACTCTCAGCTATGAAGTGACCAAGTGTATTTCCAAAAAAATTCAAATATTAATTCAAGACATTTTTCACCACGACCTACAGTATATTCTACAATGATAAATGAAAAGATGTTGAAGCATTTTCTACTTTTATTTGCAAACACATAAACATCAAAAATAACAACATAAATTTAGCAAACTGAGAAATTGTAAAAAAATACATTCACAAGACATGTACCAAAAATTACATGCAGAGACCAACTGACAGACAGACAGAAATAAAAGCTGCTTCACTTACACTACAGGCCAACTCTCAACTTTTGAACCCCCCACACAACACAGATGTACCATAAAGGCAACCAGAAAAGCTTACTTGAATAGAAAACGGACCCATCAGCTCTCACCTCAGAAGCTACTGTGAGGAGTATGATTGTGATGTGTTATTAGGGGTGTGATGCTTCCCTGCCAGAGTCCAGTGTTACCACAGCCTGCAGCTGAGTGGATGGAAGCACAACTGTGATGGAGATGTATAAAATCCATTGAGCCATTTTGGTGATTGTAGTTCAGCCAGATCATGTAATACAATCCTTTTATTTATATATATCCCTTTTGCTTTACCATATCACTTTGTGCCATCTCGATTTTTCACAGTATCTAATGATCAGCATGCTCCTAACATCAATAAAATAGCTGAAGATAGCAGTATGAGCATGAAATAGCATACAACATACTAGAAAACTACCAAACGTTTCTGTTAGTAAAGAATTTGGGTAACCTGGACTCTTGCAATGATATCTTTCAAATTAGAAACCAGGTCCTGCTTTAGGTTTGGGATGGTAAGAACCGTTACATGTACAGCCCACCCTTCTCAGGTCCAATTAGCTCACTTGGGAAGTTGACTTTACTATCAGTTGTTTGATTGAGAATTTGTCCTTCGATCCAGTCTTTGTAATATAGCAACAACCAATGGCAGACAGCTTTGATGTAAAACATTCCCTGTCCTGAGAAACAAAAGTTTTAAATGCATATATAAATCAAAATTTTCTTATTTCCTTTTCTTTTGTCATCATCGTGTCATATTAGTCACCATAAAAACACATGACATCTATAACACCGTAAAAACAACATCATTTGACCACTCAACTCAATCCTAGCAAGTGCTCCAGTTTTATGGGTAATGAATGAGTCTGTGACAACATTCATGGCAAAAAAAAATGCACGTTATATGTAGCTGGCTTTAGACTAGAAACTCAGTGGTGTACAGTGGATCACAGTGGAACTGTCAAGAGACAAACAATGTGCATGTACACTTATGTACATGCACATAGACAGACTACACAGAACAAGAAACAACCTTAACATTAAGCCTGTGAGATACTTGTCGTATAAGGCATTTAAGGTGGTTCTGGACACAAAGAACATCACAGTTCAGAAGATTATGCAGCAATACGACGACATGTAAGTGGGGCCTGAGTCACCAAGTCTTTCTACCATCTGCACACATTTTTCACACATGCACTCTGTATGTGAAGACTGTTACAGGTTTGCCTTTGATTTAGATGTTTATTAAAAAAAATATATGTCCAACAAAATACAGATTGCTTAGTGAGTCAGCCCCTCAGTGGGCTCACTGAGAACCCAATATTTACATCCAAATAATGCAAAAGAGGTATGAAACACAATATAATATGTACATGTAAATATAACATTTGCAAAAAAGACAAATCTGATGAATCTTTCTGTGCCCTGTAAATTTAAAATATTTTTTTGGGGGATCAGCAAAAATATGATGACATTTTCTTACCATGTGCATAATAAAATTTTAGGAAATACAACCACAGGCTCAGCTCCAAATGCACTAAAGCATCCTGCTCATTGGGACTGAAGTGAATAAAACTCCCATATAGTTTCTCATTTGTAGATTAGCTCAAGTCAAATCTGGAGCACCTAAAAAAAAAAGTTCTTACCCTACTTCGTACAAACTAATGACATCATCAATAAAGTTAAAGCGCACTTGAGTAAAGCCAAATAAAAAAGACAAATGACAGCACGAGTGCTAAAATCTGAGGCCCATCAGTAACGAGAGTGCCAATGCATACAATGTGAACTGTATTGATTCTGTGCAGTTTTACGTACTGGCTGTGATGTGTGTGAATAAGTGACTTCTTTCATACTTCACAAAGCACATTTTGTTATTTTCACATTTTGAGCTTAAATCAAAAATGACAAATTTTCACCTTATCATGCCTGTACCAGTTCACACAGCAATTAGCGACCAACGATTAGAGACCATAAACTGCAAGTGCTCATCGATTACCATGGACATTCTGACATTAGAAAATGAATCTAACGGAACTGTGGGGGCCTATTTACTATGCTGAATACAGTGGAAGAGCAGTGTGATGGAAAAAGAACCCACTGCCTTTTAGTTAGATGTAAGACTTAAAAAAAAGACAGAAGGTGCATTGTTTCACCTGCTGTACCCTCTTGCTTTTGTCTAGTGCAGCTTGAGGCGGTTGTAGAAGAATACCAAGTAGCAATGCTGGGGGGGAAGAGTGTCCTGAAGCAAGAGACGGGTGGTTTAAAGTCACAGTCGCAGTTGAGGTCAACATCAAGGTCACTGCAGTGATGCCAGTCTATTTCACTCCTCAGTCGCATCCCTGGCTCTGTCCCAGCTTCCATCCGAGATGCAGAGGATGGAATGTCACGAAGCTAAATTGCTCTCAGCCTCCATTTGCAGCATCCGTCAGACACTGCCTGGGTTTATTAAGTTCCTTCAATCCCTTTCACCTTTCAGCAGTCAGGCAGTACTGTTGAAATCTCCCTTTGGCTATGCTAAGGTGTGGGTGTGCGTGTGTGTGTGTGCATGTGTGTGTGTATGCATGTGTGCGTGTGCGTGCCTGTGTGTGTTGATCTGTCGTCCCTTTCACAGAGTTTTCTGATGCCCGTTGGCCGAGAGCTTCCCAGATTCAGGGTCTGTGGGGCTGTTTGACAGTTGCAATTTATCCAGACCTGGGCAGGAGGAGATAAGGGAGAGAAATCTCATTAAAAAGCCTCAGACTTTCACTTAGACAGAAGTATTGATGTGCTTTTTTTCCCCTCAGTCCTTCTGTCTGACATTTTCTAACCCTATCCCACCCTGTGTATCAAACATCCAGGGCCTGTCACCACAAGCCTTTGAGACTAGCCCCATCCTCTGTCACATGTCAGTCCCGCAGCACATTGGATCTCGCTGCAATTTTTTCCATTTTGTCACTCCAGGTCGTGCTGTCTGAGAGAAATAAACACTATCTCCCTCCAAAGCCACAGCACAGGTTTCTGCTCTCTGTGTTTCAGACTGAACCTTTGTGGATTCAAAATTAGGATGAAATTAAGTAGTCAAAGTCTTATTACAAATAAGACTGCTTTATAGTCTACACAACATCCATCATATCAAAGGAAATATTCAAACATTGCAACATTGCAATGAAAGAATATGTGGTGCACTCTGGAGCTAGTATGTCGTAGTATATCAAAAGGGACTAAAAAGCCTCGGAATACATGAATAACAAATAGATAAATAGAAAAATTTACCTAAGGCCTTTAGGAGCTCTTCCCGTACTGCTGAGGTGAATTTTCTCACCAGACAAAGTGTTGTCACGACAGCAAACAGCATGTTGTATGAAAGGACAATGTAAAAGTTCCCCAGCCAATTAAATCGCCCAAAATCTCCCAAGAGATCAAACCTGGTGATACCTGTGAAGAGAGTGACACAACAAATGACTGGTTAGAAAGCAAATCAACACGTTATTCCTTATACAGAACTATGACAATGCAATTACTAGCTCGGTAATGACTCTTTATAAAAAGGTGTGATAAATGATCATTATTTCCCCTGAGGTCCAAATTATTACAAATTCCAGACAATAAAAAGAACTCCTAAAAAAAAAGGCAGGAAGTGAGGTTCCCCCTTGACAAGGAGAGTATTGTGTTCTTAAGCAAAATTCTTCACAGCAAAAGCCTGAGGCTGCTGCAAATGTGACAATCTAGGTAGGTTTTAGTCTTTTCTGTCTGCAGTTGAGGCACTTCGAAAAGTGTCTCTCTCCAATAGTCCAGCTCTTTCAACAAGAACAAATGCTCAACCTGAAAGAAGAGCTTAAATACAAAAAAAAACAAAAAAACAATTTCATGTGTGTCGCAGGTAAAATCAGTGTGAAAAAGGAAAAAAATAATTACTAAACTGAGGTAGCCTTGATGTAACTGATTGAAAGGATACTTTTTGCATTCTGGGTCCAAGACCTATGTGCATCATGTCCATTTGTATGTTTGTGATCCCATTAGGCCAAAATAAGAAAGCCATTCCCAGTTCTTCCACAGAATCAAAGTCACCTGTAGACAAATCCACCTGAGTCAGCCACAGAGCTGATGACACATCAAATTCAAACAATAAGCGCACAGATCTCGTCTGTGACGCAGTGGTTGCACAATTTCTAGCAGATTGCAACCCAAGAATCAAAAGGTTACCCTCACAACCTGAAACAGATATGTACAGTATATTTAATATTTAGCTCTTACTTTTTAGCCTTAATAGATAAATATGCTAACAATGCTGCCATCACAACCTAAAAGTTTATGTATCTTATTTCAGAGAGACAGAAACAAATGTATTCAGATTTAAACATACCACCATTGCACTGCAAAGTTTATGCTTATTTTCGTCACTTGACCGCATCTTGGTTAGCAGTACTGTACTGTAAGGACTGTTCCCTATGGAAGATGACAGAATGGGTGACTAAGTATAGCAGCAAAGGTGCAGGTGGACATCTCTCTCCCAGGACCTTCAGACAGAGATAAAGGAGCAGTTTCTCCTGCAGGCTCCTCTTAGCTCCACACTGCTAGACCAATTTCAAACCATCTGTAACAGCTGCTCACACGCTGCCTGGAAAGCCATTGGCGCCGTATTGTTTTCCTGCTTATCCGTTTAGACCTGCCAATCCACATGTTCCTGCACCCTACCACAAGATGAGCTAGCTGTACCATCCAATAACAATTTAATGTAGGGAGATAAATAAGCTGTCTTGTACAATTGTATTTAATGTTACTAATAGTATTCACATCTTGATGTTAATTTTTCATGCAACATTGACCAAGGAAAGTAATGCATCAATATGTTAAATCTATGCACCACAATAATTTTCTCCTCAGTCATCTGTGTGCAGAAATTATATTGGGATGTGTGAGAGTGAAGAAACCCTGGTCTCTGGACCTTCCAATTCTCCTGTAACATCTTCACAACCTCTGTCGTCAATTAGATTGGCCAATCGATTCAGTGTCTTGAGAGATGTATTTACAGCGGCAGTAAGCAGTTTGCAAGCATCAAGGACCTTTAACAAAATTGCCTGTGAAGAGACAGGGAGAGAGATGATGGAGACCTCAGTCGATACAGCTTGCCACTGTGGTCTGGCTAAATTCATTTCTAATGCCAGAGGTTTTGATCTTGGTTTGGTAATTTGAGAAAATCTAATTGGGGGTAAAAAGATTATTGGCATTTGAAATGTCAGGGGTACAGTGGCAGAGTTGGAGACATTAGCACGCAGTTGGCCATGCATCCAAGATGTGTATGTCTGATTCATCAGGATTATATGGCACAGCGAGATTCTTTTTTTTTTTTTTTTTTCGATCTTTGTATGTTAAGCAAAGTTAAGATTGTCATTGCTTAACAGTTTTGAAAGATCTCAACAGAAAAGAATGTTCTTAATATGAGTTACAAGCCATCATGTCAAGGACAAATTAACATGGCGTGTTCTGCTGGTGTACGGTTTTAAGACACTGATCATATAATGGCAGCAACCAGCCAGGTTCCACTGTTGTCCTGTCAGCTCTCTATGGTATCCGTTCTACTAAAGCCAATGAATTCCCACCAAAAAGCAAAGTAACAAACCCATTTGACTGAAATACTTAAATACATTTTAAACTATATAAATACTACTATTTCACCATATAATACTACTTTTGTTAAAATCCAAGCTAAATACAGTAACAGCACGGGCATTCATATGTGTGATCATGTACTACCTGTAACTGGGTATTACTGTCAGGTGGTGGGTGGGGTGATTAACTGCAATAACTGCTGAGTTTACACTGAGCTACTGAAACAGACAACTTGTCAGAAGAAACTGCTCCCAAAAGCACAAGATTGTTTACTGGGAAAGAAAACTTTTTATTTTAACCACTGGTTACACAAAAAACTATCAGCACACTCAGCTGATTTTCCCTTTTGCTTTAAATATCATTTTCATGCACAAGTTTAGAAGTTATAAAGTCCAGCCACTCAGCAACCTAAAACAGCCTTTCCATTTGAAGTGTCCAAACAACCATGACCTGTGTGGGAGCTGATTCTGGTATTTGGTACAACAATATTTCTCACTAGATTGTTAAAACAGGCAGAATTCAGCATACTGTTGAGTAGTAGTATACAGTTCCTTCTCTTGTACAGTGCATACTTCCCACACTGACACAGAGACAAGCACAAAAAAACACCTAACATCAACACACAAAACCCTTTCTTGTCTCTTAACATCTCACTTCGTCACACTCAACTCTCCATGTCTTTTTTTTTTCTTTGCTGGGAGGCTTTTTTTTCTCCAACTCTGTCTCATGCATTTATTCCTTTTCATCTATTCAGTGTCACAAAGCAGAACCTGTTGATATTTTGTAAAGCTCCCAATGAGTCACTGTATGCTTGCTCCGTCCCATTCTCCCACTCTGTTGGTCTCTCACACACACTCTCACACACACTCTCACACACACTCTCTCACACACACTCACTCACACACACACACACACACACACACTAGTGCTATTTGAACAGCTGTGCTCTGCACTCTGCATGTTTATTAGTGCCATTGTGATGGTGCTACTCCTGTCATTTTTACCCCTTCTCCCTGCACTCCTTTCTAACGTCACTATGGGAAACTATAGGAGAATTCAACTTGCTAACCTTAATGGTCTGGTGTTGGTGGCAGTACTGAATACGGCTGTGGGGGAGGAGCATTTACTTTCTCTGGTTGGTTGTGGCAAGGTCATTATGACACCTCACTTCAACCTACACATATCTTAAAGAAATTTTTTTATATTTTGAGAAATGGCTCCGTGCGAAGGTTAAAAAGTCCACCTACCAGCTCCTCTAAAGCTCTCTAATTAACATGTTTTATCTGTTGTTGTTTTATATGTAGACACGAGTTGCAGTTTTATGGGGTCTTGGGGTCTTGGTCTTGCAGAACTATTTCTTTGTTGGGCATGGCAACTTTAGTTTCTGTTTGGTCCTTCCTCGGTTTTTGATTTAACTTCATTAGTGATCTTGAGGGGCTGATCGCTGGATTTTGTTACATAGAGACAGTGCCAGGCTAGCTGGTTCCCCCCGTTTCCAGTCACTATGCTAAGCTAAGTTGAGCTAACTGGCTGCTGTCTGTAGCTTCATATTTAGTGGATAGATAGCAGATTGTCATCAACCTTCTCCTCTAACGCTCATCATGGAAGTGAAAACCCCTACTTCCCAAAACATTGATTTATTGCTTTGGACATTTAATTGGTGCATACTAGGTGTGAATAAGGAAATTAGCATGCCCACTCTCTTATACAGGCAGACAAACGCACTCCTGTACTCACCTAGCGTTCTGGACATCACTGGCAGGGCTGAACTCAGGACCAAGATTGACACACAGCAACCAATGATCTAAAAATCAGAACAGATAATCAAACTTGTCTCTCAGGCACATTAACGTACAGGTTTTGAGGGAGGAAACTATGAGAAGTGGGAGGAAAAAGCACCACTTGCGCCATCAGTTTCAGCAGTGACATGGCCACACATGTACACGCACACCACTTGATGTTAAATTGGTTCCACATATTGTACAATTAGTACGTCTGAAGTTGCTCATTACCAGGTTCTGTCCATTGTCCTTTCAAGTCCTTTCACTGGAGCGTCATGGCTAGTTAACAAGCCTCACCACTCCCAAACTCATTACCAAGTGAATAGGTGGCACTATGGGCCAAACAGAGCACACATCCTCCACCCCCATGTCACCCCCCAAAAAACTCCACTCTCCCTCTGATGTACAAGAAAGGAGCTTGCACTTTGCCAGTGTTTGCGCAACCCACAAACAAATATTGGACAGATCAACTAAAGCCATTGAGGGGCCCTGAGGAGAACATTAGCGAGCAGTAGGAGTTCGGAGTAGAGAGAAGGGGGGGAAAAAGAGGAAAGAGATGAAACACAGGGGGTCCCAAACACATCAGCACCTCAGGAGCAATCTCAGCACCCGTTCCCTCACATCACCCCACCCCCTGTCCTTCAATCCCATCTTTACCGTTGTCATGGTTGTGTCATCCTTCCTGGGAGTGAGTCCCTCAAAGACACGCAGGCTATAGAAGCCAACGACAGAAGACACCATCAAGTAGCTGTTTGGCAAATCAATCAAGGACCAACAAACACTTCTCTGCTGGAAGCAAAGCAGCTTCATTCAGTTGTCTGTTATAAGTATCCCAAGTCTGCACCTTTTCACCTGTGATAAAAGGTGACGAAACAGCAGCACATGTCTTCCGGAAGGTGTCTGGCTGAACTATGTCCTGGATAAACAAAGCTGGCTGGACAATGTTGCTCTTGGCCATGGAGCATGCTACTCCGGCCACAGACAAAGGGGGAAGTGGTGGTGGGGGGTCACTAAAAGGATACAACATGAGGATGATCTCCAGCGCCGCATGAGCCACGCCAAATGTGGAGAGAGAAGTGTTCCCAATGTTTCGGTCCTGGATGATGGAGATACAGACAGAAAACTGGGTTAGTCAATGTCATCACACACCAATCTTATATAAACACATCACAAATAAAAAAAAAAAGAAAAAAAAAGAAAATGGGAAACGACAGCACTGCAGGCAGTTGCACACACATGCAATTACAGAAATCCTGCATAGTAAGTACGCGGTGCATGAAGAATTTCCCCACTTGGGAAAGACAGAATCAAATTGGCAAAGTAATGAATGGAACAAGATGAAAGAGGCTCTTTTCAAATCACTGTCGATCATACAATATGTGAACAGGTGTTCAAACAAAAACGGCACATTGCTTACGGTAAGAAGAGTGTACAGGCTGAAAGCACGCCAAAAACATAAAAACAACAAAACAAATACTTCAGCAAACATACTATACCCCCCCCCCCCTCCTCCCCCAACACACACACACATACCCACCCACACTCTCACCCTCAACCCCAACCCCTAAACCCCTTTTGAAACGAGCAGTAGAAAGACATTCATCTACATACACTGCACATACCAAGAATCTTTCTCGTCAACTCATAGGTATTTGCTTTTGTTGGACTGGGCACCAGTGTTGATCACTGTGTTGTGCAGGGCACCTACAGTACTATACATTATGTCCACAAGTAAGAAGTGACCGAGCTGCTCACTGTCAACCTATACAAGTTAGAAATCATACTTATTTACAGCTCCATGCTGTAAAAAAAAAAAAAAAACTGCCTCAAACTTACGGCTTCACATTCAGATCTTGTAAATGTGCAAGATCATATGCAGATACAACTTTACAGTACAATACTACTGAAAAATATACAGCGTATTATAGTACAACCACTAACATTGAGGTGCAATGCTCATGTACAATATTTACTATTCTGGCAATACCAATATGTATCACAATTACACATTAAACATCTAGAGTATGTACTTTTAGTTCGTTATTTATATGTTTTTTTATTGTATTTTATTTCTTCTTACCCACCTCGAGTGTCCTTATCTTGATTTGTTTTGTAAAAGAGCCTGAAGAAAAAAGGAAAGCCTGGCAGGTTGTTTCATGCCTTTTTATGCAACTGTCATCCCTAGGAGCTTACTGCAGAGCCATGGTGCAGTGCTCTTTCTCTCTTACACAGGGAATTAGCAGACAGCATCTGATGTCATTTATTAATGGAGGGCGGGCGAGCATGCATTAAGGCTCTGTGTGTGTGTGTGTCTGTGTGTGTGCGCGCGCATATGCGTCTATGCGCACACTAAGGACAGCTAGCTTTCACAGTACGCCTCCTTTCAACTCTTTACTTCTTTTCATTCCAGTAGCAGGAAGGGTGATGGAGTGTGTGTTTGTGTGTGTGAAAGAGACGGGGTGGGTGGGTGGGGGGTATACACGTCTGTACTGCCTGCCACCGCTCAGTCAGCAAGACACATTGCATTTGTGCAATACCTGCACATTGGCAAGATTGTCAGCACCTTTCACACACACGTACAGAACTACGAATCATGTTGTGGCCATCTGATCTCAGGGGGGTCCTGTAAGTAATGGTAGCTTTTTTAACTTGCTTTATTTTAACATACAAAACATAGTAAACCTAATCCTTACCTACTACCACCAGATAATTCCCCCAGTTCACACATATGGTAGGAGTAGAAGAAAAAGTCATAAAAACACAGTAAATATAATATACAGGAGGCGCTATTAACTTTAGGTACATAGTAGTGATCAAGGTGATCGACACATGCAACGCTTACTTTCAGCTGGGCTATGACCTTGGTCAAGAGACCTTATTTGACACAGCGCATACTGCCTAGTTTTGCAACAGTAGCGCCAGTCATCGCTGCATCACCCAACAGACTGTTATATTCAAAACCATTTGTCAAGAACAATAATAAAAACCCTGGTAGTTTTACCCTCTTCTCTGATGTCTGAATCAGTAATACTAGAGATTCCAAAGGCGCAGTCTGACATACTGTTCGCTCCAATATCACCATATTGTGGCTGTTTCTTTAGTCATTTATAAGTAAAGCTACAAGTTAAACCATGACTTTTAACTGTAGCAGTTACATGTATTTAATTCTACTTTATCTTGCCATAAAAATGTCATCGTCACTTTTTCTAATTTCTTCACTGTAGAGCTACGGACATTTATTGGCAACAACGGTAGTCCCACTGGTACATTCACTCTCACTTTAAGACCATCTTGTCAAATTCTTTCTTATTTCAAGAATGAATTTCCCATAATTAGTTTTTATATTGCCAGTGAGTGGATTGATGACAATATTGAGATGTCTCAACTGCAATGGGATTAAAGCTCATACTGTTTGCCATGGCCAGAATGGATGTGGTTGGACTGCTTGTATACACGTATACAAATAAAAATAAGTAAATAGGTCTGCAATTCAGTCGATCGGCATGATGGAAGTTTCAAGTGGTAATGTTGACATTTATTTTCGCCTTAGCTAACCATTGGGTAACGATGTAAACAGGCATGGAACAAAGGGTCATCAGACGGAAGTCGAGAAGTCGCAGTTAAGGTGCTTATGTGAGTGAAAGTCTGAAGGGCAACTTTAGTGAGGTGAAAATTGCAGTCCAGTTGTAGCTAATTGTCCATTTTACAAAATACAGTGTCAAGTGTGGTGGCTGCCAAACAGGAGGGGCTGCAGTAACAATTTTATTGGTCCCTCTTAGTGCTTGTTCATCAAGCTGTAAAACACCGTGTCCTTTGACAGAGGCAGCTCCAGTCTCCCTGCCCCTCCTCCCCCTTGTTGTTTCTACAGCATCTTTGCATTCTCTTCTTCTCCATCCACCTGCTTCTTCTTCTCATATTGCTCCCCATCATCCTCCTCCACCTCCGTCCTCCGCTCTGTAAAGTTGAGCGGGGCACTGCTCAGTATGCTAAGAACTACAGAGGGATGCTTAGTTAGAGGGGAAGACAAACATTGACAGGGCACTTCCATTGTGCTCCTCCCCCACAACAATCAGCACATCAGGGCCTCATTTGACTTTCCCACAGTCTGAGTCTCTTTGCTCCGACAGAACCTTAAACCAGCCGCGCTCTCCACTTCTTTATATCACTTTCCCTCCCCTGCCCTTATCTCCTTCCAGACATTATGCAGGTAACTTTGAGGGAATTTCTGCGCTAGAGGGAAGGAGTTTGACAGCTGGAGGGTAGGGTTAACAGGTGGATAGATGGATAGATGCACACCATATCGATTATTTTGGAGGATGAGACCCCTCGCCTCCCTTCTCCTTATAGTGGTGTGAGATCAGAGGTGTGGCTTCCATCCAGCTCAACAAACGCATAAACCATTTAGTGGGGCCACACTGTCAGGGAGGACAGCTTCAACCTGCATGACAAGTGTAATTTGGGGGATTTTCTGAGATGCGTCATGCCAAAGAAAACATCTCTGCTCAATAAAATAATTGGAATGTTGAGGGCAGCTCTGTCAGTTGCCCGCAAGACGCGAAATTAAATGAGGGAGAAATAGGATACATTATGTTGCCCCCTTTCAGACAAGAATGCAACCACAAACGCACACACACACACACACACACACACACGCACGCGCAAGCACAAGCACGCACGCACCTCTGTCACTGCAGATGAGAAGAGATAAGAAGAGCTTAAAACACATTGCATGTTAGGCGGAGATGTAAATCTCTGAGAGCCATTCCACACGCAGTTAGTCTGCCCTTACAGTGAGAGCCCTTCACCTGGCCCTGTCTGCCTTTGCAGAAGGGAGGAAAAGCAGCTTATTCACCCACTGTTGACTTGAGACACGTAGCTAGCTCACTGAATCTGCACACTGCTGTGAAATGACTTTCAATGAGCTTCCAAAACAAAACCAGAGGCACAAGGTTGGGGCCTGATTAACATCTGGTCGGGCCTTTTCTTCCAGCATGCACCTGAGCATATCCGGAATTTGACTTATGTCTCCGCCAGGAACATGGCAGGTCTGTGGTGTGTGTGTGTGTGTGTGTGTGTGTGTGTGTGTGTGTGTGTGTGTGTGTGTGTGTGTGTGCAGGTAGACAGTAGGCTTACTGTGGATCCCTTGGGCATGGCAGTCTCATCCACTAGAAGGTAGAGGATATTCAGTGCCACCATAAGAACTGAGATTGTCTGCAGACAGAGAGGAAGGTAAAGATTTGTTTACACATGGTATAATTATAAAAAGTATCCAGCATCATGGTATAATTGAATTGTAGAGGCCTTGCTGATCCTTAAGTATGGTAATGCATAATAACCATCTTGTGATTGTTAACGGTTTCAACATTAAGCTTCTCAAAACCTGAACAATGTGGGGGTTGTTTGATGCACGTGCCGTGCGTCTCACATGGCCTTTCTGCCTTATCTAACAATATCAGACGGCGTAAATAGTATTCCCACACTATAATCTATTGAAAATCACAGTTGTTGCAGGTGGCTATTCAGCATTGTCTTAAACAGCTATTAAACAAAAGTGGTTTCCCCACCCAGACACTGTGGGAAAACTGTAAGAGGATGGAGTTTGAGGTGCAGTGTTAGTCCCAATGGCCACCAGCCAGGCTGTATACGCCATGAGTAAACAGTTGGGGCTTAATGATAGGTCAGTCTCAGCACTCACCGTTCCTGAGAGCAGGATCAGCATCACTATGGGATACAGCAAGTTCTTCTCCCAACCTGATGCCTTCTTTCTTCTCTCTGAGAGGAAAGGAGAGTGAGACAAAGTGTGAGGTTGTTTGTCTTCAGAAATATATGTAGGGCCAACTCCCTAATAGCAAGATTCAATGATGAGCTAATCTCCTCCATTACAAACCACCTTCCACCACCGGTTAATGAATGTGTTCATCAAAGACAACTACTGAAACCTCAAACCCTCTGGCTTTATTTACAGGGTTTGTACAGCATGGTTTGGTAAAACATATCGTGAGTGCGTGTACCAAACACAATCTCACCTCTCATCGCAACCCCCTGCCCCCTCCCTGCTAGGTAATATACATTTCATAACCTTCAAAAATGATGCTCTTCCTCTTTAATTAGCCACACTCATCATTGCCTTAATTAGTGGAAACAACAATAAATCCTGGATGAAAAGAAACGCAGCAAAATTAATTCTGTGATTTATATTTTGGTCAGAATGTGTGTGTGTGTGTGTGTGTGTGTGTGTGTGTGTGTGTGTGTGTGTGTGTGTGTGTGTGTGTGTGTGTGAGAGCAAGTGGTGGGCAACTAATGTGTCTAATTCTTCCAAGCTAGATGAAACATTTAAAGTTCATCTCTTCCATCTTCATCTTATTTCCACAGATCATCAGTCATGTTTGTAGACACTGATGACAGCCTGTAGACCGCGTGCACTATGTCTTCTGTTATGGACATCCACAGTCCTCTTACAATATGCATCTGACTGCCCTCTAGTCCTAGCATATTGACTTTCTTTCTCTATTTCCAACCTTGTTAGTCCTCCTTATTCTCAAAGTGCACCCACCCTGCCTGCCTGAGAAGTTTGCCAAGTGCACTTTATATGCACCATCCTTCTAAATTAATGACATCACTAAAAGGCTTGCTACAATATAAAGTTTGCATCTTGTCCAATATCCTAAGTGCCTTTGTGCTCTCCTCCCCCCACCCTGCTCCCCAAAAGGCTCAAGCCTCATTTATAATATCCTAAAATGGATGGAAAATTATCAGGCTGTTCTGGTCCAAGTCCAAATTAAGAAATTAAGGCAGACGGAGAGAAAGCGGCTGCCTGTCAGCAATATGTAAAAAGCTAATTTCTTTGGCATATATTTCCATGGCAGTTCAAGGTTTTAAGACAAAATATATCAGACGTGTCAGAGAATACAAACACTTACCCAATTTATTTCTCTGATTTCTAATATTGTCCAGTTCTTTGTTGAGCTGGTGAGCAAAGCTTCCTCGAGTATAAGTGTATGAGGACGATCCTGCGGAGAGAGAAATCATTGAAATTAATTCAATTTGTTGCATGATCCAATGTTGTTTAGGCCTGTAACTAACAATTATTTTCATTATTGATTAATCTGCCAATTTCATTAATAGCTAAGTCTATGAAAACAGTCCAGAACCCAAAAATATTCAAATTTGAAAACTGTCTTGTCTGAGAAACTTGAACCAGATTGGCTTGTTTTCTTGACTAAACAGGCAAAACAAAGAATCAATTATCAAAATAGGCAATTCATTTTTTTCAGTCAATTAATTGTTTCAGCTCTAATGTTGTTCAAACAGATAAGATACTAAATAGGCAAGTTTTTGTGTGATGTATATACTGTATCTGCCGGGGCCACTGAAGAAACTCTTGAAAAGTATTTTCAGACACTTCTCATCCAGAAAAAAATAGAAGATGGTGTCCTTATTAAGAGGTAGTTAACTTCCCTTAGCATATGGTATTTGACTTCTCTTTATTAAGCAACCCCATCAAAACAAGTAATCCTGCTCAGAACATAACAATGTGATCTCAAACAAGTAAAAATAATCTCTTGTGTCAGGAGCTGTCTAGCGCATGCCACAACTGGTTGAGTGGGCTGGAGAAGACAGCAAGGGATTCTCCAGGAAAACCACAAGGCCAGCTCATTTAAGGCTAATTTATCTATTTTACTCTGTTTTCCTTCCAGCTTGACGCACTAGCGTAGAGGCCCCTCAGAGCCAAAGTGGAAGAGTATCCATTTGCATCCCCTGGGGTGATTGGCAGATCAAGACCAATTAGTTCAGTGTTACAGTGTTACTAGCGTGCAATAAAAATACCATCTTTCATCTTTGTTACAAGAGAGAGGGACCAATCACTTTGATCAAACCTTTTTCTTCCCTCTGTCATTATGACACGCCCTGTCTGGATGGGTTTAAGTAGGCAGAAGAGGGGAGATAGACGGGGGAGAGAGAGAGAGAGTTAACAGTCTTGTCTGTGCCCTCGCAGATACCTGTCCCGGGATCTAAGCAGGGGAAAGTTTGAACCCTCCGAGCAAATGCAGTCACAACACAACAGGAAATGTCACGGACAGTTCAACAGTTTTTTTTTTCCTCCAGAGACGAACTGAACACTGAACTGCCTCAAGGTAGCCAAATCTGCTCAGCCGCAAGTGAACTAATCTATCACCTAAGTGCACAACATATCCAAACATGGCCTTACACATCACCAAGCACAGATAAATCATTGATCAAATGAAAAGTAGATTCTTAACAGCCATGAAAAGTAGCAGATCTCAGTAAAGACAAAGAACAATATCGTCACTTGTTCCAAGCAGAAGGGTAAAATAGTGAGAAACTCAACTGCAGTATCTCCAATGACATCATTCCAAACTGAAGTTAAATATATCCTTCTCCTTCTGCTGGCAGCATCAAGTAAAAGACTGAGTTACAGCGAGGCAGAGATGCTGAGTGAGGCTTCTGGCAGCCAGGAAGGCCCAGAGTAATTCAACGTATCCTCTCCAACCTTCACCACAGCCGAAAAATTACGTCATCTACAAATATGCTAAACACCATGCTGAGACAACAGAGGCACTGGCAAGGTCATTGTGCCGCATAGCATCTGGACAGGCGCTCTGTTGCTCTGATATCAGCAGATCAGGGTCTTGAAAGGGCAATGTGGACAAGCATGTGTGCCACACTGTATGCGCTGCAGTGTATTTGTGGGCTCTAGTGATTAGATTGCACTCTTAGAACACATTCTCAGCCAAATTACCTGATGAAACTATAGATACAATAGTCACTTACTGGGTACGGTTTGCAGGTATTAGGTGTTACAGCCTGAATTCCCAAAAAGCTTGTACATAACAAGGTTCTTCCAGCTGGGATTGTTCATCTCAAAGATGCTTTACTAGGTTAAGATCTGGGGCGAGAGAAGTATCTTTCATGTTCCTTGAACCATCTTTAAAGCTGTGTGCAATGAGGCTATAAAGAAATGCACCTGATCAGAAACTAAGTGAAAACTCTAAATTATATACTTATTATCATGCCATCACAGCCTGATTGTTGTTTACATTTGAGTCTGGGATCTACAAATTGTGGGTATTTTTTTGCTTGAAATGTATTTTAAATGATTAATCAGTTATCAAAATTGCTGCAAATTCACTTTATGTCAATCGACTAATCAATTAACTGACTAATTGTTTCAGATCCAATAACCAAATCAAATCCAGTCACCTTTTCTGTCTGCAACAACGTCTAAAGGCATTTAAAAGCAGTAAAGAAAGGGTGCACAATTGTGTAAGCACAATGTGAAAATAGTTTCTTGTAAGTTGAGTGTTAGCGGCTTATCTGGAAGTTCGAAGGGGCATGTCTCCAAACATTTTACTTATTAGGTTCATCATGCCCTTGACAAAGAAAACAGATACACATGTCCAGTCAATTTAAGCCACAACCTTCTGATCTGCAAGACTTAAAGCATCAACAATGTCATTACAAATGGGCAATTGCATGTAGAGAGAGTACAATAAAGGCCCAGACATATAAATAAACAGATGCATCAACTGATGTGGCTCAACCGTGCACATCTACAAACACAAACTGGGTAAGAGGATAATCTGTTCGAGGAGCTGGATGCAGAGAGAACACAGGTGAAGCAAGAAGACGCCATTGCTCACCTCTGGAGTGTGTCCTGTGAACTGTTGCTGAACTGCCTTCTACTCAGCGCTCTCAGCAGATCAAAGGAACACCACTCTAGCCTTCAGTTTCACCTATGTGTGAGCATGGATGCTATGTGTGTGTGTGTGTGCATGTACATACAGTGTGTGCATTAAAAAAAAAACATGCATGTCAACATCCTCCTTCACCTTTAATTCCCACCTCTTTAACAGGCAAAAATGAATTGCAGCTTGGCCTCAGCGCACACATGGAGATGTTGACCACTTTTTTTTTTTTTGCCACACAGTGACTTGTAAAGATCAAACAGTCTTGGGGATGATAAGGAACAGATTACAATTATTCTATCATTTAGTTCAAAGCATTGCAGTGTGGAATGAGCCTTAAGGAACCATACGCTTAGGTGGCAGTCTATGGAGGTGGCCGGCGTAGCATTCGAAAACAAGCGTTATCAGGGAGTGATCTCCCTTACCTCCCTGGTTTGAAAAGACGCTCATCCTCTTCATTTACTCGCATCTGTACACTTGGTTGCGTGCTTGAGTTAATATTAAAGTAGGTTTTGGAACCCGGCCTAAATACTTCCTGCTTTTTCAGATTATTCAACGTCAAACAAGGAATTTGGGAACACGGGTGGACATGAAAAGGAAATGCAGGCTAAAAGAATAACATCTTCACCGTCCTTAAACTCTTTAAAAGTTCCCTTTGTGCCCAAGTCCAGAGAACAGCACAGGGCTCCTGGTTTCTTTTCAGAAGTCAATGAAAAGTCGCTGCTCTTTAATGTCCACAGGACAAAGCCAAAACTTCTTGTAAAAGATTTAATTTCCATCCTATTACCCAGGCTACAATTCTAAGCCTGACATTAAATGAGGCAATCATTTCGCCAGCAGTGACAGTGGCACTGGAGTGTCTTAAATGGATCCTTAAAAACTTCCTAAACATAAAATATGGTCCTTGCCATGGTGGCTGCTTTGCCCTGAAGCAGAAAGTTATGAGAGTAAGACAGTGGTAGAGAAAGGCTGGTGTCAAGTGTGTGTGGACTTTTGTGATTGTCTGTGCGTGCGTGTGTGTGTGTGTGTGTGCGTGCGTGTGCACATGTTGCTCTGAATTTTCAATCCTAATTGATTCCAGTGTGGCATGCTCCATCACACCCAATAGGCCAGTCAACCCCTCCCCTCCCCTATAATGTGCCAACACGTCTCCCACAGACATACCGTTTAATCTCCTCTGAAGGGCTTCCTCCTGCAAATGGATGCAGTAAATCTGCTCATCCAGGTCCTCCAGGATCTGAAGGGGAGGGAGCAGAGGAGGAAGAGATGAAATGGGTTATAATTAGGCCCAAAGTGGGACTGGAGAGATGGCAGATGGGAAGATGAGTTGGTGATGTATTTGTAGTCCTCTGTCGCGAATGTAAATGGCCGACCGAGACAGACATCGTTTGGAGAGGAGGAGCAAAGCGGGTTCAAGTCTGAGCTGATCTGTTCAAGTTCAGCCAGTCTTCTTTTTTTTTTTTAAAGAAAAATTTAATTAAAACTATTCAATCAACTTTTTCTATTAACCAAACTGTTTACAAACCACAACCATGTATATTTAAATATTTCAAATGATTACTTACTGTTGGCTTCACTAGCAACTGGCCCATGACGGTGAACATCCTGGACAATCCCACAGGAGTGCACACTACACAGCGGACAGAAAACAGTGTGATCAGCTTGTGTGTTTACTCACTCAGCTATGATTCTGTTTGCTTCAGTGTGTGTGGGGTTAAGTTAAATGGCTTACTTAACAAAAGCAGTCCCCCCATCAGAGATATACAAGAGTAGAGGTACGGTAAGTAGAACTCCCAAAGATCTATTGAAAAAAAGCGTTAATTTAGTAAAATATACCCATAAAAAGGACAGTTCAACATTTTGGAGACTATTAAAGAAACAGTAACAGCATTTTTTATATTTTGATTTTTTTAAGGGATCAAACAAACAAGATAGAGTTTGTTAATTTGTTAGCTTTAGATATGCTGGTGAGCCAAGAAAATGTTTCCCTGCGTCTTTATGCCAAACTAAGCTAATCAATTTGCAGCTCAAGTTTTATAGGTAATGCACAGTCATGAGAGGGGTATAAAACTTCTCATCTAATGCTCTGCCAGAGTCAAAAAAAATCGCAAATTGTCAAATTATTCCTTTAAAAAAATACAATGAAGAGATTTACAGACACAAATGACACAGAATCCTTGAAAAACGTACCGTAGAGGGACTCCATACTGGCTGCGTCATTGTCGATGAGTGCTGACGCCACCCACACGATGCCCAGGATGAGCAAAGCCAGCAGGAAGAGCATCACAAAGGTCTCAAGAATACGCGCCTTAATGCCCTGATAGTAAAAAAAAGTGCACATAAAAGAAAGAAATGTATTTAGAGATGGCTGAAATCAATATCATAATAGACACAGAGACGTTTATAGTAACACAGTTTCATCAAAAAACTCATTAATCAAACTAATTGTTCATTGCACTGAGCTGGAAGGTGGTATTTCCTACATTTTATATCCAAACCACCAAACCAGATTCATTTTACGAGACATCCCCCTCCTCACTCCATCCTGCCTCGCTCATACTAAACAGCATCATTTCCATTCGCAGCACACAAACATGACATAAACGCTCCCACGGATTTCTGTGTAAAACAGCTCTTTTATACACACATATTGAAGTCTATAAAGTGGGTCTAACGGGGCTGGTGGTGGCAGAGGTGAAATTAAAAAGAGGAGGGGGCACGGGGGGTGGGGGGTGCTGTAAGGAGCATGAAGCCTGGCTGGGTCAGCTACTGTCTGCGATCAAGAGCAGGCCTCCCATCTGGGACTGATTAGGAGCTCCCTTAGCACCACGGTCGCGTCCCGGGCTGGGCAGACAAGAGGGGTTTGGGGTAATTTGGGTTTTCCGGGTCACAAACTGCTGAGTGGTTAATAAAGTCCTCCTCTACCTGTTCACACAGTTTCCATTTCCCGCCCTGCTGGAGAGCCGAGCCGTCTAGCGCTGTAAGATAGATAGGCGCTCTCATACACATGTCAGGTAGGCTACCAGGCACAGGATAACAAGGGCTCTCTGCCTTTTGGAGTGCTGCTTAAATTGGGTACATATGAGCAATTTGTTACCAGCTAACATAATGACTGTGCGGTTGCTGTTCAGTATTTGCCAACAGGTACATGAAGGGGGTCTCTCTTTGAAAGTTGCCCCCGTTAATCATGAAGCCACTTTATAGAATGGAAATGGTTTTAATTCTGCACGATAAATCAAACAAGGTTTTTAGGGGTTTTTTTTGGTTTGTTTAGTTCCCCAACACAGTTGACTGTCATCCAAACAATCTGTCCTTTAGCGTTTGTATTACAGTTTGGGTCACAGTTTAGCAGCTGTCTTCTAATTCACTCTTGAGCTCTCATCTCTTTTACTCTGACAAACTGCATTTCGCGGGTCAAAGACATATTTGGTCGATTTAATATTTCCCCATTGTCACCGACCCTGTCTATACTTCGATATAGGGCCTTTATTTGTCCAGGATGTTCACCATCATGGGCCGATTATTCCATTCATTGTCAGGGGTTGAAAAATGACCCTGTAGCATCCTGTCGCTATACGTGCTGCTGCACACGCTGTACGTGCCTCTCGCCTCCTCTTATGGTGATATTCTGAAAAAGCCTCAGTGAGTGAGTGTAGAATTTTCTAGCACAACAGAGAGGAAAGTGGGCAGGGTCTGGAGTGCCCCAGTGTGGCCAAGGTGGACACTGCAGCCACTCGACAGGTAACGTTAAAGGGAGTAAATGGGCCCTAAAGAAGCTTTACTCAAATTGAAATAAACTTAAAATATCTTATATAGTATGAATAAAATATAACATTAATAAATCTATTACAGTGATAACATATCTTAGGGGAACCATGTAGGTTTATGTGCCATTATTCCATTAACAACAATGAGGATCAATATACTAAAAATAAAGCCTCAAATCTGACGTGGACATGAATTTTGCTGACTGCCTCATGCTCTTTTGTACACACTCCACATACTGGACTGATGCAGCAATCAACCATCTCACAACACAACTCAACTGGGCAGTGGGGAAAACACTCAACACCGCTGAATAAAGAAAGAGGGAGATGGAGAGCGATAGAGAGAAATAAAGAGAGAGGACAACAGAGAGACAGAGAGAGAGAGAGAGAGACTGGTGGAGGAGAGGAGTCAACGTCTGAGCGCATCCCGTTCCCCTGAGGTAAGAGAGGTGAGAGAGGAATGCTTTCAGGGACTTCAGCCACGTCCCACACGCGCTCTCTTAAGGATGCATCAGGACAAGCAGAAGCCGCAGGCGGGACGTGCGCCTGCTCAAGCGCACCAGTCCACCTTAACAAGCTGCCCATGCCATGCTGAAGGTGTATTCCCTTTAGATAGGTCTCTCAATCATTTATAAGACTCAAATCATTACCCATTCAGATCATTTAGGGCAAAAGCAATGCTTGTCACCTCCCTTACTATCATCCCTGGTTCCTGCCTTGCTGGAAGAACAATCCACAGTGTCAGACATAATTTGACTGTACAAGAGAAAGAGGACACTGAACTGAGAGGCCTGATTGGTTTCATTGATCAATCCACAAGCCTGACATTGCACATTGAAAGTTCTGTCTATCCTTACCTATTCGTGCATGGGAAAACTGAGTCCTTTGTTCCTCATCGTAACATTAAGGAAGTGAAAATGTGTGCTTTGAAATAAATATGGTATAAAAATAGGAAAATCCAACTAAGCCATCATCATTATCAAAGATAAAACTGTCAACTGGTGAAGGAAGGGAGGGGGGAAAAAAAAAGAAAAAGACCTGTGCCTTGGCGTTCAGAGCGCCTGCTGAAAGTTTCTATTCTTGCCATTCTAAATGTGTAACTACCTCTAAATATAGCAGCTTTGAAATATTCAGCATCCCCCGATCCTCACACTGACATCGAGTGAGGGGCTGGTTAACTGCAGCTATGTTGTACAAGCCTGGAGAGACTTCCAAGAAATGCATGTAGTGGGCCAGGGAGGAAAGTAACTGCTTCATATGAAAGACCAAACAAACATGCATGGATTCACATACGCCACACAAAGGCGGGCGGGCGGATGGACGGACAGACACACGAGCAGCCAAGTACATCAACCTCCAAATCCACCCAATTACACAAAGCCGCAGAGGGCTTGGAAACAGTTCACAAGCTTTTCGCCTAGCCTGTGCTGCAGAAAAACTAAAGCACAATCTGCCCCCGTCTTTGATGTAGTGCTTCGACTGGTGAATCCAGCAGAGAGTTCACCTCTGGAAGCCGAATGCAATAGTGGGCAAGTGTGAGAAAGAGTGAGGGATGATTCTTGGGAAGGTGCAGGCCAGGGCTGTGTTGGATGTTGGAGGTGGGTGGGGGGCGGGTGGGGGGAATCAGACAAAGGAAAAGAGTTAGGTGGTGCGGGAGCTTCCTAGTTGCTGCCATTAATCCTTAGCAGGTCAGCAGGCGGTGGCAGAGATCATCCCGCGGACCATCCTTCTGCTCACTGTCAGGGACGTGTGGAACAAGGGCCAAGAGTGTAATAAGTGAGGGAGGGGGCAGGGTCTTTTTTTTTTTTTTTTTGCTCCCCAGCAAAAAGGACTGCCCTCTTTGCTAAAGACATGCCAGATGCCCAGGACCTTATTAGTGTATCCTTCAACCAGTCGGCCGCAGCGCAATGACCGTGTCAAAGACAGAAAGCAGAGGAGAGGGACACTCCCCTGTAAAGCTGCAGAATGAACTTCTAAAGACTCTTATTAAGACTTCTTAATAAAGCCCCAATGACACGAGAGCATGGGAAATGATCGGCATCACGTCGTATTGTTCAAACTCGGGGTGGGGGTGGGGGGTGGGGGGGTGAGTTGGCAAGAAAAAGAAAACATTGTCGCGAAAGTGGTACTTCAGTAATATTGCGATATGCATTAAAACTCTTTGAAAAAGCCATTCTGTAGCCATGCTGGTTCCCAGTTTTATTTGCAATCCTACAGTGACGACAGCATGTTCTGATTAGAGAAATGTTAGCACCTAGTACACCTAGTAGCCTGTCAACACAATGCTCTGCCCTTCTTAAAGCGTTCGAGTAACTCAGTCCACACATAGGACAGAAGACGTCTTGCTTTAAAAATCAGCAAAAGCAACTAAAACTCTGGTACAGAATCAGTTAAGTTTCAGAACTTATTGCTTAGTTTACAAAAACTGAGTCACGAGAGGGGAAAAAATCCTGAGCAACTCGCTTGTTCTTTTTTAAATTCCCAGCTCGAACTAATATGTTGCCATGGTAACGAACATTGTAACAGGCAGCTTTAGGGAGACATTGTGACCTTAAAGGAAGGTATGTAAACACCACTTTATATTCTCCGGCTGGCCCTGCCCGAAAGAAGGCCTGGGAAAAATGTCTGCATGTGCAGGAGATTTGAAATAAATATCCAGGCCCCCATTGTGGAGCTCCAACAAAGAGGAGTATCTTAGTAACACCACGCGGGTTTGCTTGGCGAGACATTTTCTCTCTCTCTCTCTCTAACCCCCCCCCTTCTCTCCACTCCTCCCCCCTTCCCCTCCTCTCCCTCCACAATAAACACACTTCTCATCATCGGCGGGGTAGGGCTTAGGATGAGATTGATGAGGAGGTTCTTTAACTACCAGATGAAACCTGTTGGCCCTTTGCTAGGTCAGTCAGGGGGTCAGACTCGTTCCAACTCGTTTCAGGATCAAACACATTTCAATACTGTGGGTAAGACCAAAAGACTATTCACAGCAAAGCACACTTTCCACAATTTCGATGGTTTCTTCACATGAACTTATTGGAAATGTTGCATACTTTTCATCACACTAATTTACCAATGATTTAGCTAGACATAATAAACATCAGAGCATCAGTGTCAAGAAAATAACTTAGACTACACTTGAAATAGACCAGGAAGTTGTCAGTCAAAAGTTTTTTACCTTGATCTAATTGTTTTTGAGTAAATATAGCTTCGAGATATCATTCCTGTCATGTGTAATTATTAAACCGATTTAAGCGCCTTGATATAAATGGAAGTCTGAGCAAAGGTTTGTGTTTATGTCTTCACAGTGTTTGTCAGGACATGCTGATCATCTCAATAAGGACAGCACAGATGGCTCTCATCAATATAATGCCATCTACTGGTGGTGTGGAGACAACATAACAGATAAGTGACAGAAACGCTATAGTGGGACATATAAAGCCTCGAAAAGCGGACACATTTTTGTCCATCCCAGTGCTTCCAGAGCAGTGCAGCAACAAGAAGCACTTCATTTAGAATACTGCTAATTATGCAATTATGCAAGTGCAGAAATACGCCACGGCACAGAGGTTTCTTAAACATGATCACAACCTGAAAACCTAAACTGCACAAGGCAAGACCTTTAGTGGCCTGTGATGCAGCTCTTCTGCAAAGATTTCAGAACACAGCAGTAAAATGGGAGACATTTTACAGCAGCAAATAAAGCTAGATCATAACATCTGACATCAAGACCCTAAGTCACTCTGATTCATCCACAATTTGGACAATTTGTTAAACTATTAATCATTCAGGTGACAGAGCCTCTGAAGAGCTGAACAGTTAACATTAGGGGGAAAAAAACCCCCCAAAAAAAACATCCACATTTCCATCTTTATCCTGGTGGCGTCTTTTAGTACATCGTCAAAAGTAAACACAGCCACATGAAAAGGCTGACTTACAACGTTAGAAGTGAAATTCATCATTCACTTCATTTCCGCAGTCAAAGGGACCTCGTAGTGCCATAACATTAGCCCAGGAGGTTATAATGCCACATAAAACCTTATGACATTGTGGTCTAATGCTGTTATTGGGGAAAGGGATAATATCACATTATAAAATCTCGGATCTGTGTTTTACATTCTCCTTGCTGTCGGCCGCATGATTGACTCTGCGGGCAGCTCGGTTTTTTTTTTAGTTTTTTGTTTAGGTGCAACAGGAGTGTCACCTCCACCCCTTCCTTAGCACGCACACACACACACACACACACACACACACAAACACACACACACACAATATATACCTGGACGTGCAGCTCAACATTGAACAGTGCTTCCTCTAAGCAAATTTATGGAAGAGCAGTAGCAAGAAACAGTCTCACTAAAATGAAAAAGAACAAAAAGGAGAAACGTGAAAGAGGCCCTACACATCAGGGCCTGCCCTCTGTTGAAGAAATCCAACCGAAACAAATTAGTGGGGCTGAGGAAGAAAAGGACTGGCTATACAGTACAGACTAATTTTTATGTGCTTTTGCCAGGAGGGACATAAACCAGAGAGGTTTCAAACTGTGACACAGGATAGAGGTGTATTAAAAGTAAATCTTTCCCCCTCCATTTTGCGAGGCTCTATTGTGCTGTCATGTTGCTGCGACTTTATGGACTTTTGGAACACGAGCCCCCAGCCTCTTTTTTTTGGGGGTAATCAATTAAACGAGGAAGTTCGCTGAGCCTTACAACTCGATTATTAGCCTGTCCTTTTGAAGTTTTATTTTAGGGGGCTGGGGAGGGGGTGACAAGGAATCAGGCTTTAAATCAGTGGGGCCGATGCAGCAGTGTTGAAGCGTTTGCAGCCTATGGCCTTATTGGAAGGGTTTGTCAGGATGTGGCGCTAGGCGAAGACCAGATTCAGACTTTCATGGTTAATGAGCTTTCTGCGGTGGCAGTTACGGTCAGTGGCTTGAGTCAGGGAGAGGACAAGGACTAGGCACCTGCTGCTGCTGCTGCTGCTGCTGCTGCTGCTGCTGCTTCGCCTGTCGACAGGGAAGCTTTTGCACGAACAGCAAAGCATAGAAATATTTCAGCGGGAAAAAAAAAAGAAACAGGGTTCTACGTTTTCCTTTTCATCGTTTTATATTCTTTCAGTTCTTAGTTTTTAAATTTTGCATCTCCGACTCAGTTTTAAAGCGTCTGATTCATTTTCAATTTCTAATGCTCGTTTGATGATAGCTGTTAACCTTGACTAACACACAAAGAAAATGAACCAAACTAAAAATGATACACATAAATACTAACGCTTCAGGCGATGTACCTTTTTCGATCCTGCGAATCCCTCAGACTCCAGGAAGAAATAAGCAAAGGGCATCAGGACGAAGAGGCAAAGGTTGGAGAACAGTGACACCAGGTTCCACAGACCTGCAGAGACCAAACACATTAGTGTGTGCGCATACAGTCGTATACACAAACCATATATTGTCAATCAGTGGGCGGCTTTATTTTTCATTTGAAAATGTGACCCTTTTTTTTTTTAAGGCTCAGGTTCCACAAATACATTTTCCCAGACTCTGAGTGCTTTCCCTTGAATATTATGGTACAGTAGTTGTGAGGCGAGGTGCCAGCACAAGTGTCTCTCTGGCAATGTCATGGACTCCAATGCCCCCTGGTGGATGTTCAAACACCCAACAGCCTTAACAACATAGCCGACACTGACTGGAGGCTGACAGTGACACAAAAGAAATCACATGATCTGTGTTGCTACTGCAAATGAAAAAGATTGACTTTTAAAATAATGGTTTGGGGTTTTAATGAGGGAAACATAAAATGGTTTCTTCCCTCGCCCAGCAGCTGTGACTGGTGATTCATTATTTATCGGAGATGAAGTCAAATTATTTTTCTTATTTATTTTGTTTTATGCATCATTTGGCTTAATCACAACTTGCACTCATCCTACAAGATTCTACACGTTTTTGCATGATTAAGAAACCACATTATTTCATCACTACGCGTCATCATGCATTCATATGTGTGTGTGTGTGTGCTAAATGAAACAAATGAATATTTTTAGATGGAAATCTAGGGGAGTTTGAATGGGCCTGATGCAGCTGATAAAATTAATAATTAGGCTGCAGCCATAATCTATAGGCTCATGTTTACATTGTATAGCCAAAGCTAAAACTGATCAGGAATCATTGAGGGAATCGATTAAGAATCGGACTGATAAGCAGAATTGACAATGTCATTGGTATTGATGAAATCTTATCAATTCCCATCTACATTTTATACAAATATAAACCAGAAGAGGATATTTCCCTTGTATACAGCTGTAGGGTTGGGCAAAATGATGATATATACCATGGCACAATATAAATTTCCACCATCATAAAGCTTCTGTCTAAATTCAATAATCAATTCACAGCCACTCTTTCCAAAGCCTGATTATGAGCAACAGTGACAACAACAGACACACCCAGATCTATTAATCTATTCTTTTAATCCAGTTTCAGTGGTATCTTTAAAGTAAAACCTAAAGCTTGAAGCAGTAACAATGCATCAATCCTTTTTTGAAGTAACTCTATTATATAATAATATTATATGTTTTATTACAGTGTTACAACACAATCTGAAATTGGATTTAAAGAAATCATTACTGACTTCAGTGTTCAAACTCTTGATTCAGTTTAGTAGTTAAAAGACCCCCCAAAAAAATCATACTGTATTAGGAGCTGACGCGTTAATTTCTAAATTAATAGGATGGAAAAACAACCTGAGAGGGGTTAGGGTTAGCTTTCCAAATGTTCGTGAAGTCTTTGGACACGAATTCCTATTTAATACATCAACACATCTATTGATTCTGACATTAATGTAAAAAGTTAATTATGGTTCCAATGAATGTCATTCCACATATGTTAGAGGACATTTACTTCCCTTGAAAAGCAAAAATACTATATTATAAGGAGCAAGAAAGGGAGAAAAAAATTAGTTCATCAAACTGAAAAGACACATGAACTGTGTGATCTACTGACCGTGGATGAGGGAGCCATTGAGCCACTGAATGTAATAGTTTTTGGGGAAGGAGAGGAGGATCTCATTACTAATGATTGAGAAAGGCAGTAGGAAGACGGCACCACCCGACACTGCCAGGGTGAAGGTGCACAAGTATAATCTGCAAATGGAATCAAACACACATACACAAAGAGACAAAAACACAGACACACACACACACACACGTGTTAGGGCTAGTCGAGATCAAAACTAACACATGCAGAATCACAACAAGGTAATAACACCATTTTTCTCTTTCAAATCCGATTATATGTTACAAGCTTGGTTACTTGGTTACTGGAGGATTAATTTTGGATTATATATTATAAAAGAGTCACTGGGTTTACAGTGTGACAGGAATTAATAAGCAAAAGCAAGTGAGGAATTAACTTATTTAGTGACCACTTAAAGAGCACTGGATTTAACTGCCGGTGGGCTCATTGTCAGTCTGTTCTTTCAATCATCTTTCCGCTCCTCACTTTATCCACCCGTGCCCGACTCCTGGAACAAAAGACTCCGACTGGCTGTGTTTCTGCAGGATGCAGTTTGTGGGGTTTCCTAGGCAGTGGGTTTCCAGATTGGGCCCAAGGGAGTGACCATCTGCTCAGTGGTCCTCAGTGGGGCGGCACAAAGTCACCACTTCCACATATCACTAAAGAAACTCATTAATCTGAAATGCTTTCCATTATTTTGCAGCGCCCTGAGTACCATTTACCTCAGCTGGGCTCAAAAAGGCAGGATGCAATGTGGCTACAACAAACATCCTTGACTGTGATTCTAGACTGACATATATGTGATACTTGCCACCACTGTCATAACTTAAGTAACACATTGAGAGAATTAGTGGTAATCAGTGAGTTAATGCAACACTTTTACAATTTATGTAATTATTTTTTCGTAATAGGGCTGCAACTAATGACCACTTTTTTTCTTTTCTTTTTTTTTTTTTTTTATTAAAATCGATGATTTGTTTGGTCTATACAATATAAGAAAACTGCCTGTCACAATTTCCTAACATCCAACCAACAGTGAAAAACCAAAGTTCTTTATTTCACTACAATATTAAACACAGAAAAGCAGAAAGCCTCACTATTGATGAACTGGAACCAGATCACTTGAATAAAACAAACTTAGTTCACTAGTTTCTACTTAGGACAAAAAGTAAAGTACTAGTTACTTTACTTTTTGGTCTGAAAAGTTAATAACTCAACAGTGTTTGTCAAACTTTCTAAATTACAATGTCTTATAAAAAAAAAGAGAATGCTCTGAAATCATCTTCACTCACGATATTCTGTTGACAACAGCATCTTCATCCTCATGGTCATCTGGAGAGGAAACCAAACCACTTCAGTCACAAGGTGGGGCACTGAGTGCGCTAATGATCCATATCAGATTCACATTTTTATACATCACTTCATACTTTTGAAAGAAATTTGAAGAAAACGACAGAATTTTTATTAGAAACATACTTATGTGTTTGTAGTAGACAAATTTTCCCTCCCATATCAGCCAATACCAACAATCATTATTGTGAGAGTGGTGGTGCAAATGCAGAAGCAACGCAGGTTAAGATTTGAGACATGCCTATCTTATAGGTAAACTGTTTTCAATGTGCATCATAAAAACAATGTAATGCTAATTTGACAGTTATATTAAGTGACTGAGTCCTTAAAGAATCTTTCATATTTTTCACAAAAAATTCTAAAAAAAAAAACAAAAAAAAAAACCAAGAACCAAAGCACTAAACTCTTAGAAGAAGAGCAGCCTAGATTTCTGCTGTATAAAACTCCAGAAGGAATTTGTGGTGCAATGTGGTCTACTTTCAAAATGAGACGAGGGAAGCCCAGGTGACCTGCACATACTATATTTGTCCTGGGAAAATGGGATACAGTTCAAAGTGCCCACCTGGGCCTTCTTGTTTTTCTTTTCTGTTTCCTCCTTTATAACTTGGTTTAAAAGATCAGAAGCTGTGAAAGACATTTCAGAAGAAATACATCTCACAAAATGTCTCACTTCCCTTGAGTCTTGTATTTATGGAGGACAGGTTATGTCAATTATGCTATTATTGTTGTAATGTAACAATTGTATTCTGGTTGCCACAGCCCTAAAAGGAATTTGGGGACGGTCACAGTTTTCACTGATACAGAGCTCACTGGCATGGGTGTGGTCTCTCACACATACTGTACACCTAAACGCCTTCTTGGCATTGATTTCCTTTCACTCTAAACACAATGAAGGGCTCTGTCTGTGCACAAACAAAGCATAAACAGAGGCTGTAGCTGTGAAAATGGTTAGACCATAGACACATTCTGCTGTGCAAGCAATTAAAGTGATGCTTTAAGATGTGTGACGGTCTCACTGAGGCACATGTGGATTCCTGTTGTCCCATGGAGTGAGGGATCATATTCTACAAGAACACTTACCACTCTTCCTCTTGTATCTGGTTATGATGCAGTAGGACACAATGTAGAGGACTGCAAACAGGAGGAAACAAATCTGAAAGGACAACATAAGAATCTTAGTACGGGATTTATTATGACTGAAGATGAATCAGCGCATCAGCAAGCAGTTATCGACAGTACACTACACCTGTTCTTCACTTCCTTTAATGCCCCATAGACTAGACTAGACTAGACTAGTGCCTTGAGAGGCTGTGCCTGTGGAATCATTTTACAAGTCCCATAAATTGTTTATTATGGCAAAGATATTTGTTACAGTATACATGTGAAATATTGTCACATTATATGTCTGCAAGACTTCAGTTTCACCCACAATCACTTACACAAATTGATACTAGACAAACGTGATGTAATGGTTTCATCTGATAAACTAACTAGAACTAAAACCGTGGATCCAGGTCATGTGAGCACACCAATGCCTCAGCATTTTCCCATGACTAACAGTCTGAATGGTGGCAGGCAGATTCAAATTTTATTCATACATGATATTTGAGTGTAAAAGCAGTATCTATAATGCATTTCCTACTAAATAAACGGCACGACAAGTATTTTCAAGCAATGTATATTGTCAACTATGGAAAGTAGATCACCTAAGCATTTGACTAGCCAGTCCAGAGTGCACGCACTGCCAACCTGAGCCTCTATTTCCTCCATGACCTAGTGTGGTGGAATAGAATACCTTGTCTCTTAGTATTTGTATATAGATGTTTGCTACCCAAAAATAACTATGAATGGTATAGATTTGTTATAATGTGCAAAACAGGGAATATTTCCTCTTATTTTTGACACAAATCAGTAACTAGCCAGCAGCAGTGCAGTTAAACATTATCCATTTATTTTAGTGTAAATCAAATAAAGAAATGAATAAAAATAGCATCACTGTTTTCCAAATTCTGATGACACTAATTAGGCCAGTGCTACAAGCGAAGTGTTCCAGAAATAATGATAAACTAATGCAGGGAATTTATTAGGTAACACCACGCTCAAAGCAAGCTGGATGGTCTTACAGAAAGATCACATTCCACATTCTCCCCTTCTACTGTGACAGTGACCGGGACGTAACTAATGTTAGAAGCTCCCACTTCAGCACTTTGCACCCTGTCAACATTGCACAACTCATCATGGCCAAGCTGGGATTATGAGATGACTCAGCCAGACACCGGGCACACCATGCACATTTCAGACAGAGAAACTAGCATTTAAAAAATTCCAATGCTCCAAAGTCAATCTGGGAGGTATATAGTATTATATAACAGCTATAGCAAAAACTGTTTTTCACTTCCAAATGAAAGAGATATTAATTTCCAAGCTACAAACTCTGTGATGACATTGGCTCAAGCAAAGCCTTTATCCACAAAGGAAAAACCCCAGAGTAACACACGAGCAGGTGCACAGAGCTGATAAACTAGCACAGACAAAAAGACACAACAAGTCTGGAGAAAGATAACAGCAAATTTGAAGCACACCAGTCAATGCCACTAGTCGAGATATTACTGTTTTCCATCAAAAAGTCTCAGTTATACACTACACAACAGAAAAAGCGCATGTAATAACAAGTCAGACTTCTTGTAAGCAGTTTGAATGCATCCCCAACCAACTTAGCAACAGAATTTCACACCTTAATGATACATGAACTCAAGCTCAAGGTGACGGACACCTAATTACAGGGATCTCTTCAGGTCTAGTCACTTGAATATTCCTGCAAGCATGTATTGATCAGGGTGTCATGCACTGTAGTGCTCTCATTACCCACTTTCAGCAGTCATTTCAGCAGTGTAAACAAGAAAGGTGGGTTCCTTTTGCAGTTTAGGGGAAAAAAAGAGCTGGATTTCTGCTGAAGACACCTAAATACTTGGTTGTAAAAATCCCCAGCTGAATTTATTAAAGGTTTATTAAGTGTGAGCATGAGCACTAAAGTGATGTTGGAAGATCTGTATTGTAGTTTGAAGTACATGTTCGACTGTCTCCTAATTGCAATGTCAAGGACAATAAAAACGTTACAAATTGCTCAACACAGTATGTGTAAGGCTGATAATGGTGTTAAAGCCTTTTTTTGCAGGTGGCAGGGGAAAATGTAATTGCTGACGAGACCACATGTAAATTGTCCAAACGCTAACCTGCATTAACATGATTACTCACAGTAACCTGATTTTCTGTGTCAACATAGGCATGGCATTCTTTGAAAATTGTTTTACAGTAGGGTCCTCTGTGAGAGACACAGTTTCCCACACTTAAGGTCTAACAAGAGTGCACCATCTTGCCACTGAGTCATGTTTACGAAGTTTAAACTTAAAGCAGGATAGCCTTGACTACAAAATAAGCAAGCTCCACAATAAAAAAAAAATCAATCCACTGGTGCCAGTAGAAATCAATCCATAAGATGACTCACCATAGACATTAAGGTTAAATGACAGTGACATTAAAACATCATGCCGAAGGGATCTTAGGTGTAGAATACTGATATAGGATACTGAGAGCCAGGTGAAGAAGAGAGACTTAGTATAAAATGTGAAAGCTAAATCTGAGATGTTAAGCTTGCCTGCAAGTAAGACATTTGATAGTTTCTATATTTCAAACGTGTCTGTCATGAATAATCAACAAGACCAGGTCCATACAAAGTGTTGAGCTTTCTAGCTTAAGAATTTACAGCGAGACAACAAGACACTCTAAAAATCAATGTGGTTTATTGCAGAGGAATCATCAGTTGGTTAATTATGTTTACTGTGTCATGCTTTTACAGGTGGCCAGCCAACAAGGACTTATATGACACGAAAAGTATAGCTGCAGTGGGGAACCATTTGTCAGACAAGAATAACTTCTTGCATACACTATTACACTACAAAGAAAGAACTGGGTGTCCTGTCCCAAGACTGATAAGCAAAACTCAAGTGTTTAATAATCATCCAACCAGATGAAGTCATCTACTTATGTTAAGGGTATCACACCCAAACAGCAATGTGCACAAACAGATCTTTGACTTTAAAATTGAAATCCTGCTTCACATGAGATCCTATAATGTAATTATTCTTCATGGGACGATGCGTTCATAAATTAGGTCTGTACCAGACTTCAATAGAGAATGTCTATTTAAACAAACGAAACCATTACCATTAAGAACCATGACTGAATTTAAGAATAATATAGAAGCATACAAAATAAATGTTTCATCTCTCCAATTCAGGGACACTACATCACTGAGATCTGGGACATTTTGTTCATGTCCTAGTTAAAGATCTTCCTTGTGAACCGCAGGTATATTTATTACAAATCTGTTCGAATGTCCCTAAACAACACGTTAGTGAAGTCAAACTACTGTAACCAGTTAATGGTAGCTAGCGATAACGTTAGCTAACTTTAATGAGCGCGTTCACTCGTTGTTTTTAATTTAAACAAGATCCGTTCAGTAACCCGATCGTAAATTAAATATCACATTTTTGGGTGCACCACAACATTAAGTACCAAGCTTAATAAATTCTGCCGAGTCAAACTGACAGCTGATGCTAACGCTAGCCACCGTTAACGTTACTGTGCAGTAGAGGACGTTGTTAGCCAGCTAGCCTTGACTAGCCCTGCGTTACTTACGATGTACTCTCGAACTTGGCTGTGGAAATTCTGCTCTCTGATGGTAACATCGTCTACTTCCATTCTTCATATTGCAAATACAAAAAAGCTACAGACTCACTACATGCTAGCTCGTACAACTGGCATCAACGACAACAACTCAGGCGTGATCCCGGCTCTGCAAAAATTGCTCTGACTGGTTAAAAGACAGTTTACATCGAAGGAAAACCGCTCAGCTAAAAAAAACGCCCCAAAATAAACGACGTCATTACCATGCGTCAGCTCTCCGGCGTGCCCTGGAAGTAAATGGTCGCGTGTTTGTGGGTCAAGTCAACAATATTGTCCTCATGGATATACATGTGCAGGTATCTATCTGCTCTCAATAGGCGACAACTTTCATCCGGTGCCTCTTTCTGTTGTTTCAAACCACAAATAACATTAGCCAGTCAAACTGACCAGCCGTGTGTTTTGAATAAGAAGGCTAGCAGGTTGATGCTAATTATATCTAGCTTACGGTCGATATCCCGAGTTTAATTTGTAGAAATGAAGGGGAAATGGAAGCAAAAAAACAGCAAAAAGAAGAAGGGAAATGCAGTGTTACAGAAGTACATGGTGTCGGTGGATGAATTTGTTAAAAGCAAAAGTGGCACAGAAGAAGCAGAGCCTGACCATAGGTTGAGTTTTGTGAAAAAGAAAAGCAGAAAGGAGCTACGCAAAGAAAAGCGAAAAATGAAAAAAGCCAAAATGAAGAGTCACTATGAGGGTAACAGGACCCTCAGTTTACCCGCAGGTGATGGTGAAAACTCGGGGATACCAGCTGAGAAACGGCCACAGGTGCAGAAGAAGAAGAAAACGGAGAAGGCAAAGAAAGAAGTCTCAAAAACACATTCAGACCTGCCTGCTAGTGACACCACAGAAAAATCAGTGAACTCTAAAGTGCCATCATCTGCCAAGAAAGGTAAGAAAATTAATAAGCTTCAGGAATCAAGAAAAATGGCACTCATGGAGGCAAATGAACAAGAGGACAGAGAAATAAAGAAGCTAGAGCGCTACCTGGGATTTAACAAAAGGAAAAACAAAAAAAGTCTCCCACAGTCCTTTGTGGCCGATGGACTTGATTACATCCTCGGCATGCTTGACTCTGGCTCATCAGCTGTAGGTATGTATGATGATGATGATGACATGGACATGGCCAAAGAGAACTTTGAAAAGCTTGACGAGACTGAGTCGCAGTTGTCAGAGGAGGATGAGGAACCTGGAGATAAATCGTTAAGTGAAGGCAGCGATGAAGATATGGCTTCATTTGATGATGAAAATGAGGACGAGGATGAGGATGAAGATGAGGATGAGGATGATGACGAAATGGTTGATGAGGAGGAGGAAAAGGAGGATGACCAAGAGGAGATGGATGAGAGTGATGAAAATGAAGGGGAAACAGATGAAGAAGAAGACACTCCTGACACAAAGACATCAGAATCCAAGTCAGAAACTGTAAGTTCACAAACTTCAAACATGTGTTTCATTTCTGTCCTAGCAGAGACATCTTGTACACCATATAATGGATCTAACCCTAGTTTACATCTTCCATTGACTAGGTCTCCTCTACAGCTGGGAAGTATGTGCCGCCTCACTTGCGCAACATTGGAGATGACAAACGCAAAGCTGAGCTTCAAAAACTGAAGAGGAATGTGAAAGGCCTGGTGAACAGGTAACAGTGTTATCACAACGCTACATTTTAAACCATTTCCAGCGATATTAGATCTTCCATGGGATGCTAGAAACAGTTGCTGATTTTTAAATTTCAAAATCCCACCCTTAACTCTTCCTGTAAAGAGTTTATTTATTTATTTATTTATTTATTTATTCATTGTTATGCATCATGGATTTGAGACATACACTTCTGGGCCCCACTATATATGAAAACACCACCCTGTTTGCTTCTTTCTTCCTTTATTTGGTCTAATAAAGCTCACAGATTAAGGAGAAAATTATTGCATCACCCACAAGGTTAATGGGAGGTCTTAACCTCCCAAATTTGGAATTTTATCACAATGTAGCTCAAATGCTCTACATTTAACATATGACTAACAATATGGATTTGAAAATCATCAGCCTAACGATTTACTCTGAGCTCTTTTCTCTAAAAAAAAAGAATTCAATTAACAGTACATTAAATGTTTGGAAAAAAAATAAAAACATACTAGGCCAAGAAATATATATCCCCAAACATATACAAATTTGAAATAACCCATCAATAAATGTGGATAAACTCTGGAAATCAGAAATGATCTGATACTATAAAGCATATTTCAATACTTTTATTAGGGTTAGTTACTAAAGAATACATATAAACTAAGTGACAGATCCAATCCAAAGCTCATAGATATTCAGTTCACAGTGATATGAAACAGAAACAGAGCAAGTCCTTACATTTGAGAACCTGGAACCTACAAATGTTCGACAATTTTTTGCTTGATAAAAATCTTCAAAGATTATTTGATTGTCGAAATAGTTGGCAATGAATATTCTGTTAATCAAGTAATTGACTATTATTTCAGCACTGTGGAGATGCAACCAAAATTTTGAGGAGACTGTCCTGCAACTAATAAGAAGGCACAAACATCTTTCCATAGAGTTGAGGAGAGAACTTACTTCAAATATTAATAGATGTGGATGGAAATGGACTCTTGTTGGTCAGTGTTGTAGTCAGAATAACCGCTGACCACAGATCCAGATCTCAAATCTGTTCTGTTTGAATTACCAGTGAAGTTCTTCTAAAAGGAATAATTCCTGCATAATTCACCAACTTCTTCAGGCTGAGTGAGCCCAACATGGCGTCCATTAGTGGTCAGCTGGAGGAGCTGTACATGAGTTGCAGCAGGAAGGACATGAATGACACCCTGACCGAGGTGCTACTAGCGGCCTGCGTCACCCCGTCCCTGATGCCTGACAGACTGCTGATGGAGCACGTCCTGCTGGTCAGCGTCCTCCATCACGCCGTCGGGTTGGAGGTAAAACCCTGCAACCTTTGTGGGTTTATATTACACTCATATTCATTACATGTCATCATCAAGATATTAACATTCCTATATCGAACAGTACAATGAGTGTGAAATGTCTGAGTCTCATTATTTTTCCAGGTGGGGGCCCATTTTCTTGAGACAGTTGTGCGAAAGTTTGACGAGTTGTACAAGAACCCAAGTGAAAGCAAAGAGTGCGACAACCTGGTGGCCATTGTTGCTCACCTCTATAACTTCCAGGTGGTGCACTCCCTCCTCATCTTCGACATCCTGAAACTTTTATTGGGAGCGTTTACAGAAAAAGACATTGAATTAATTCTGTTTGTGCTGAGAAATGTCGGCTTCGCCCTGAGGAAGGACGATGCTCTGGCTTTGAAGGAGCTCATCTCTGAAGCCCAACGCAAGGCCAGCGATTTGGGGGCGAAGTTTCACGATCAAACCAGGGTAAGGAATGAGTAACTCAAGTAAAGACGATCACCTTTTACTTTTAATTACCTTTCATTTTTGCAGACATGTTAAATACCTAAAATGTATTGACTATAGCGTTGTAGTGTTGTCTTACCTTACATTAAATCATGTGTTAACTTGTCCTCAGGTGCGTTTCATGTTGGAAACCATGCTGGCTTTGAAGAACAATGATATGCGGAAGATCCCAGGCTATGATCCAGAGCCTGTGGAGAGACTGAGGAAGTTGCAGAGGACTCTGGTGAGTGATTTTCACAACATGACCATATTTGGATACATTAGTGGAAATAGATTTAGATTTCAAATGTATACCTCACAGGGACTAAGTTTATTTTTCATGCTATTATTATTTCTATATATAGTAGCTTCCGCCTGTACCACCAGGTGGCTCCAGAGTACCACCTTTACTGACTCAGAGTCCAGAGTGTTGCTAATGCTTTCAGCCTGACCATGCCTCAGGATTGCAGGTGTCCTCCTCACATTTTTTTTTTTTAAACTGATGTTTTTCTACTAAGTGCACTTGAGACTGATTGCTGGTGAATGTGTGTAACTCAGATCCACCACAGTGCATCAGGCAGTGACGTGAAACTGAGGGTCTCTCTGGACAATCTCCTGGCCGCAGAGCAAGTCGGCCGCTGGTGGATCGTCGGCTCCTCGTGGAGCGGAGCGCCCATGATCAGCGAACCAGGGAGCACAGCCACAAAACAGAGCGCTGCTGAAGGAAAGGTAGAGTAATAGAACTGCAGAACATGCCAGGGTTGTAGCAGTGCGCAGTATTTATTTAAATCATTCGATTTCACATTTTATTCATTTCTTATCTGCAAAACAAAATTATTTTCCACATGTGAAATTGGTTTAAAAATGGAAACTATTTAAAATAAAATATTTACTCACTTAACATCAAATAATCATTATTACCCACAAATGAATTACGTTTTTTCATTGTCAGTACAATCAGTAGGCTAAAGTATATCTTAGTGCTGTAGATTGGTCAGTATTAAGACCCGGTATGAAAACCTCAATACTTTTTATGATGCCAACCAAGATGTGTCAGTAGCACTGAGTTTCCTTGGTCAGTTTAATAATCTTGTTTACTTATTCCTTTTTCAGACATTTACGTCACAAATTCGCTATGTTTAGAATATTTTATTTATACCTTTATTAAACTCTGGTACTTGTTTTGACACACTGAGAGGTGTGTTTTGTCTTGTATTAAATTCAACTTAAATTAAATGTTATAGAAAAACATTTTCATATTTTTCAAAGTAAGGTATCCAAAAAAGTATTGTTTTAGAATCAGTCACAAAAACTCACACATTATGGAACTGTGTGTTCGGCCTTAGCAAAATGTCTCACTTCACTGTTGTCACTGTTTTACTTGTCTCAGTTTAGTGCCAAAGTCTTAGAGCTGGCCAGGAAACAGCGGATGAACACTGAAGTAAGAACAAACATCTTCTGTGTTGTTATGACCAGTGAAGATTACCTGGATGCGTTTGAGAAACTGCTGAGGTTTGTTGTAGCTCATGCATTTGTCTTTATGTTAAGCTGGTTTTACCAAAAAATAGAAAGAAAGAAATGTATTGTAGCAACTTTTTCATTTTCACCTGACACAGCTAAAAGGTTGGTGTTTGAAAGCCTTTCGTTTGTTCTGTGTGAAGGATGGGACTGAAGGATAAGCAGGAGAGAGAGATCGTACATGTTCTGATGGACTGCTGTCTGCAGGAGAAAACCT